GGAAAATAAATTATTTTACAAGGAAAAGGAAAGTAAACTGAGATATTGATTAACCACTAATTGATAGGAACGTGCACCGAAAAAATAAATAACTAAATCGTCGATTTTAAAACCAGGAAATTCCAGCGTGAAATCCGCCTCGTTGGCCGTGATAATACGGAATATGAGCTTTAGTAAAAATATGAAATGCACCGTTACTATTTTGTATCCTGGTTAATTTATTTATTTATTATAAAAAAAGTCAAAATCATGTTATATACATATAGTAGAAGTGTCATGTCTGTGTATGATTCATGATATTAAAGAGTTTTTAAGTACGTCCTTTGCTACTTAAAACGATATGCTTGACAGACTCTTTACCGGTTTTGACTAATATTAATAAGATTAGAAAATGTTAAGAAGTTAAATAATCAAAAAAAATATTTTTGAAAATTTAATATTTTTCACTTGTTATTGCACTGGCAGTACGTAAATTAAAAAACTATTATAAATTGGAAAAAATACGACCGGATCCGTAGCAGTTAGAGCAACAGCACGGAACGCTGTGTCGGTCCAAGTTCTTAAAGATGCGTTAATTTCGTTTATAAGCACAATGTCAACAATATTAAATTTCAACACCTTGTTAGAAAAATGACATTAATTAAAATATAATATATGTTATATTTTAAATTAAAAATCGAGTATAAATTTAAAAAAAATACAACACGGGCAGGAGGACTTAGACCGGTATTCTCAGCGTTTCGTGCTGTTTCTCTGTTATATGATATCAGTGATCGATTCTATCTAATTAAAATACATAGTTATAATTTAACAAAAAAGATATAGGTTTATTGAAAACAACAGCATTCGAGTTTATTGAGGAAAATGCAAACTTGCATAGCCAGGATAAAAAATATACGATTTTTAATCTATACTAATATATAAAACTAAAAAGTTTGTTTGTTTGAACGCGCTAATCTCAGGAACTACGAGTTTGAATTGAAAAATTCTTTTTGTGTTGGTTAGAGCATCTATCGAGGAAGGTTATAGGCTATAACATGCGATGTGACTAATAGGAGCAAAGATACAGCGAGAAATGTGAACAAAACGGGGGAAATTCTTCATCTCTGTAGGTTTCAGATGCGTACGCTGCGAAAAGGGTTCAAGATACCTAAAAATTGTGTATAAAAGAATTATTCCTCTTTATATGATCTAAAAAAAGTCCGTGACGCTATATGTATATCTTTTAAGATTAACTTGCAAGAACGAGCCGAACGAAGGGACGCGTACGACGGGACACGAATATCGTGGGTAACAGCTATCTACACTAATATATGTATAACATAATATCATAAAGAGAAAAGATTCGTATTTTTGTATGTAACGTATAAACCCAAAAAGTACTGGACCGATTTAATTAATTCTTTTTTTATTAGACAGCTACATTATCATTGAGTAAAATAGACGATACTTAGTACTAGATTACGATAATTACCTTTAGAAATTTCTATTAAAAGCAACGGGAGGTGTAAAAAAATTATTTCATAAAATGTATTTCATCGTTTACGTTGCTTTTTTTTTTGAATGACTATTACGTATTGAGTCCCGACGGGACCTCGTAACCGGGCGTTTGGGGGAGCGCGCTAGCGCTCGCCGTGTTTGCGGCTAGATCAAGGGTGCCCCGAGGGGGGACTTACGTTGCGAAGAGTATTAATGATAGGACAAAAAAATGTTCGACAATATTATAGAATATATCAATATCTACAAAAACAGCAGGACCTAACTATTGTAGTTACGTCACTATAACTACTTTTTTACTTTTAACAAATTGATAGAAATGGCGAATAAAATCAAACTGTGTTATCCATACCATTTATAAATTTTTATTTAAATAAATTATAGATTTTAATAATATTATAAATAGGAAAATAACTTTGTCTGTCTGTCCGGCTTTAACTTCGAAACTACTGAACTGATCTAAATGAAATTTGGTAAATAGATATTTTAGAGCCTAAGAAAGGACATGGCACGGACATGGACAAGGCTATTAATAATGTCAAATAACGGATGATAAAGGTTGAATAAGGGGATGAATGTTTGTATGGAAAGTCTTGAATTTTGAAGCTAGAACAATGAAACTTTCTTCTTTGGCTTTTTGGGAAAAGGAGTGGGGGTGGGAGTGGGGGTGGGAGTGGGATTGGTAGTGGTAGTGGGAGCGGGAGTGAGTGTAGGAATGACAGTGAGAGTTCGAGTAGGAGTGATGTGAGGTGAGAGTGTTGCGGCAAAGTAGTATTTACAACATAGATTGGCTGCCTTAAATGCGCCCTTACATAAATTAATAAACAGCCTGAATAATTAAAAATTCTACCCCAAGTCACTATTCCACGCAGACGAAGTCGCGGGCACAGCTAGTGGGAAATAAAGATGATTCCTATTAGGTATTCCGTATTCCGACCTCATTGAATAAATATGCAACATAAATGCTATACTTTTCTATGGGATTTTCACTTAAACAAAGCATTATTTATGTACCGCGTACGTTCTTAACTGCTTAAAACAAGAAATATAAAAATTCATTTATTTATTATTATACTTATTTCCTTTAATATTATTATAGTCTAACTCGATTTTCATAACATATAAATAAATAACAAAAATATCGTAAAATAGGGCACAGAGGACACATTTCTGCGATGACTATTTTCAAACAATGGCGTGCACTAAAAGGAAGATTTTTTCGCGCCAATTTCATTTGCATATTCTGTTTTGACCTTTACTTGCGATAGTCTGTGGAACGAAATTTCTTATCTATAGATAATAATAATGCGTTGAGTCTGGATCGTGTAAAATATGGGTAACATGAATATGCACTTCGTTTTAATCTGTAGGTGTGGAAAGATGATTGGTTATTATTTTTTGTAGGTGTCACTAATTGTCTAGAGTTCGGCATTAACAGATAAAAAATATCTTATGCGCATTCATATTGATTACTCTCTAAATTTAAACATTTATTGTTACTATTATTTGTTATAAGGCCGAAATTAATTGAAAAAAAAATGAATCTATCTTGTATTCATGAAGAAAAATATAAGATTTTCTAGCTCTTGAATTGTTCGAATATTTTGTTAAGACAATAAGTATCGCCCGTAGTTTACGCAAGTACCCATTAAAATAAAACAGTTTTAACGATTTAAAACGCGACACATACTTGGTATGGCTACTGCAAAACATCCGACTGTAAATAAAATAACCAATGCTTTAGTTTCACAATATTACATGTACAACTGGTTATTACTGCGTTACAATCAGGGCGTGTAACGGGGTTCCGGAAGTATTGGAAAGTGGGCCTCTGATGTTCAAGGTAGCCAGGGGTTGGGAATTAGGGTCAATGTGCCAATGACGTCACAGTACAAGTCATTTACCGATCGCTGAGGCAAAAATACAAATCTATACTAATATATAAACCTGAAGAGGTTGTTTGTTTGTATGCTTGAACACGCTAATCTTAGGAACTACTACTACTGTAGGCTAACACATCGTGATGTGACTTATAGGAGCGAAGACACAGCGGAGAATGTGAAAAAAACGGGGAAATTAATTAATCTTACCATCTTAGGGTTTCCAATCCGTAATAAATAAAACGTACTTTTGATACCCCAGCCATATAATATCTAACCAGATGCGCTGTCGGCCTATTTTGGTTTTGCATATTCGTACCCTGGTTTGAGTTTGTTAGACATATATGCCAAAGAATCAACTACTACTAGACTGTGATATCAATTAAAAATTCATTTAGATTGAAAATTTTTTCGACACGGGCGGGAATTGAACCGGCATTCACAGCGTTCTGTCGCTGTTTACGGTCCGAGTCCCGTATTCCCGGCTGCTGCAAAGCTTTGGAAACGTCGGGCCGTAGTTAAAATAGTTTGTAAATAAGTTTAACTACTATTTCGCGTTTAAACCCGTTTAAGTAAAAACTACAGACAGTATTTAAAATTAAATCATGATGTATGTGAACATTATGTAACAGAACCAAAAATGATTTGTTGTGACATAATAGTATGTCATAAATGTCATTAATATTTAAATTAAGGCGTTTTTTATTAGCCTGACCTCAGTAATCGATAAATAAGCCAAGCGAAAGCCGCCAACATAAAGAAGAAATATTAAAGTACTTTACGCGAGTAGTACATATTTAAATAAAACACTTTAACGGTTTAAAATGCGATGTATATTAGTTAAACTTATTTGAAAATTAATTTTAACTTTTAACTTCGGTCGGATGTCTCCGCATCACCACGACTGCTGCAAACGAAAAATAATTTTCAAATAAGTTTCATTAATATATATCGCGTTTTAAACCGTTAAAGTGTTTTTTTTAGAAGAAATATTGTTTTTATTTTTAGTATTGCTATTATGTATTATATATATAATACATGGCAATACTAATATTTTTTTTTGCATTTCTTGTTGTATTTTTGATAAAATTTGTAAACATTATGTTTCTTTGTAATATTGAAGTCATAACCTATAGTTTTACTTGTGTAGACCACTTTGGAAAAAATAAACTACTAATAATACACTACATTTGTACATTTGTTGGGGTTGTAACATTTTTTATCTCCAAGGGTGGATAGAATCAACCCACGGCTAACAGCAACACAATTTTACAATTTAAAATATTTATATGAGCTATCATGAACTATAATGATTAAAATAAAGGCATTTATACGTAATTTAAAAATCGAAAATAAATTGAAAAACATTTCGACTCGGGCAGGAAAAAAATTTTTTTTTTTCAATTTATTTTCGATTTTTAAATTATATAGTGCCTTCACGTGCAAAAAATAATAAAGTTTTCAAAGTTATACGTAACCAAACTGTTACTATACAGACAATTAAAGTTTTTGGTATATCACAACGGAATTCTGATGTTATGCAAATCAGAATGTTTAATATCCCGCTGGGTTAATGTTGCATTGCAGTACTTCCAAAATGATGTTAATCTCTTTTATTTACAGGTACAAGCCGACAAGTTGTGAAGGGCGTAAATGGCCGATTCAGGTCCGGACAATTGGTCGCCATCATGGGACCTTCTGGTGCTGGCAAGAGTTCACTGCTTAACGCCATATCTGGATACAGGTATGGCTCTATCTCCTACACTTGACGCGGTAGCTCAATTGCTTAGAGCAACAGCACGGAACGCATTGGATGCTGTTTCAAGTTCTGCCCGTGTCGTAATTTTTTTCAATTTATAATCTATTTCTTATTTATATCATAATATAAGTATCAACTTTTGTTTTTTGTTTAAAAATGTATTCCTCTTTTTTTTTATTCTATCAAGACCATAAACCATTTGTGTAAAACACTTTGTAGAAAGTCTGTGTCTGTAAAGTATTGTCTGTAGTTTACGCGAGTAGCACAGATTTTGAATTAATGCTTTAAAATCCTCGTCACCACGACTGCCGAAACGTCGGGCCGTAGTTAAAATTATTTCAATAATATATTTCACGTTTAAAACTGTTAAAAATAATGTTATATGTAAAGATTTGAAATATTTTAATTTATGTCATATCTTCGAAACCAGAGACTTTGGCTATGTCGGGTATTTAGATAGGTATAAATAATAAGTTTATATTTTTGAGTTATTGATAATTTGAGTTAAGTGATTTATTAACGAGTTGACGAATGTGGCGTTCTTCCCGGGTTTGAATCCCAGACTTATCGCAACTGTATACTTCAAGAGGTAAGAAGTATATACTGTCTGTAGTTTACGCTAGTAGTTCACATTTAAATAAAATACTTTACCGGTTTAAAACGTTCTCCGTACGTACGTAACGTCTTCCGTGACCACGGCTGCTGCAAAGCATCCGATACGTCGGGCCGTAGTTAAAAATAATTTTCAAGCAAGTTTAACAAAAATATATCGTGTTAAAGTGTTTTATTTAAGGCATGAAGTGTTTTCGAAAAATATTTAATTAGTTATAGTACACTATGTATTTAGTTGTTTAGATCGTAGTTCTAACGAAGTGCAAATATTAGTCTCAATAATACTTACAAAATATCTTTAACATCTGTTTACATAGCTATTCAATATTTTAGTAGTTCAGTGTAGCACCATTATTAAACAGCAATTATCATAATATATTTGCCAGAACAAGCCAGAAGTGTGTACTTTACGCGAGTAGACATTGAAATAAAACACTTTTAACGGTTTAAAACACGTAATGTATTAGTTAACTTATTTTCGAGACCAAGTTTACTGCAAAGCTTCCTAAACATTGCGCCGTAGTTAAAATAAACTAATGAATATGTTTCACGTTTTGAACCGTTATTTAAATCGTGTTCGAATTCAAAGCCAAAAGGTCGACAACGCATCTTGTTTAAAAGTTACATGGCTAATGTCATCTGCCACCAAGTGACCCCAGGCTTCCTCTGTCAATTTAACAAACACAAATATGTATAGATGTTATAAATAAATTTTAACTACAAGCTGATATTTCGGGTTCTCTTCAGCAGCCGTGGGGCATGTTTACATTAATGATTTACCTAAAATTTAACGCATTTTAACTCTTATTGTTTAACTGTTTAAAACGCGAAATGAGTAACTATGATCCGATCCTTTGGATGCTTTTTATCTACCGCAATAATGTGGAACCAATGTATGTATTCGTTCCCAATTTCAAAGTCAAATCTGTCAAACTACTACTTTTTTTACTGATGGTGTGAATGCCTAATGCACGCCCACGTCGGGCTATACTGACGTGCGGAGTGTGGTAAATCGTATAGCCGACCAGAACCACTAAACACACCACCAGCCCTCTACGGTGCTTTATGGGAGCCCTGGGACCACTTACTACTACTAGTCAAACTGCGCTACTGTCACCGGTTTCCTAATTAATAAGTTGAAGCTGGTTCTTCACAGAACTAATTTATGATACATTTTCCAGGTCCGCTGGTGTTACTGGTGAGCTCCTAGTGAACGGAGAAACACGGGACGAGCATTCATTTCAAAGGTCTTCGTGCTACATCACTCAAGAAGATTTGCTTCAGCCTTTACTGACAGTGCGGGAGGCGATGGACGTCGCCGCGAGCTTGAAGCTGCCGAGAGGAGTGAAAGCACCTTCTGAGGAGATTTTGCAAGAGCTAGGCCTGTTGGATCACCAGCACACGAGGACCGATCAGTTGTCTGGTGGACAGAAGAAGAGGTAAGATCTTTTCTTTACTATCTGTGTCTGCGAGTTTGAATGTGTGGAATAGGTAGTTATATTGGGCATCATCTATATTTAAATAAAACACTTCAAATAAGTTTAAAACGCGATATATTAAACTTATTTGGAAATGATTTTTAACTTCGGCCCGACGTTCGGATGCTCTGCAGCAGCCGTGGTCACGGACTGTTGACAAATAAGTTTAACTAATATATCGCGTTTTATAACGGTTTAAAACGCGATATATTATGTGTTTTATTTAAATGTGTACTACTCGCGTAAACTATAGACAGTATTTAATCATCTATATTCTTATTTTGAAAAAAAAAAAAAGTATTTTAAACTCTTAAAATATTTTTTTTTACCAGTAGTTCCGTTTATAAGCACGTTCAAAACAAACAAACAAACTCTTTAGCTTTATAATATTGGCACAGATTTACAGCTTAACCATAACCATTATGTAACGAGGTATATATGTAGGTATCTGAGAGATAACGTGAAGTATATATTTTTTTTGATAAATTACAGTTGCGAAATGATTTACTCAGTAAGCTTAAATTATGAAGTCCGGAAGACTAAAAAAATATATAATAATACAACGTTTAAAAGTATTTGTGTTTATTTCTATTGTATGTTAACGGTAGGTATAAAAAAACAAAGAAATTGTAAAAAAAACAACTGACAGTGCAATGCACTATATTTGTACTTCTCGTCCGTTCTACGTCCTTGGTTAAAAACGTATCAAATTAAGAGCTTTTTAAATTGAAATGGCGTTTATGTTCCTACATAGTCACCGGTAGATATTTTAATAAATAACTTTTAAAATTATGGCACAACATTTAAATGTAGCGATTTCCTTGCGAGTATATTAATTTTACTGCGAAATAAAGAAATGTTATACAATTATACAAGGGACTGAGGCGGTCTCGCTGGTCTAATGGTAGCAACGCTATGGTGGCTAATAATCAACGGGTCGTGGGCGATCTATTTTGCGAATTTTCGACAGCAAATCGTGGTGAGATGTTATTTGGCCGGGGCAGGTATTTCTCTTATCATTAAGTTCTACGTACTTGTTCGTTCGTATACAAATATGTATAGTTATAAATAACCCCTGATTGGAGAAAATGTTCCCACCACTTAGTTGATTAACAAGCTGCTAAAATAATCCAATGATATGTTACACATTGAAAAGCAAAGGGGCGATGTTTCGTAGAACAACTTTTACTGGAAACGGCTTGAAAACCTGAATACTACATGTACCTTATTCATGACTATATCTATCGAAATCTAAAAATATAGCAACCTATAATTCAGTTCGTCTTCTCTGGGCTGCTACTAACTTCGACTTCAAATCTAGAACCACATACTTTGCTGGTTTAAAAGGTAACCGAAGGCAAAAAAGATCTCAAACAAGGCACTTAAACTGAACAAAAACGAAATTTCATATTGTGCAAACCATCATTTTGTGAATATTGAATACCGCATTATCACTTTATCAGTGATTAAAGTTAATAACAGTTAATTAAAACATTCTGCGTCTGATAAACACTGTGTTTATCGATTTAGAAACAGTGTTATTATCCCTTTTAGGTTCAATGAAAATTACACAACTATTATTATCTGTAAATGCAAATAGTATGTAAATCAGGACCTTGGACCTGTATGTAATGACATGACAGCGAAGCGATAAAAAGAAATCCAATAAGAAAATGCAATCCGCAATCGAGTTACAGACAGCCTTCCTCGTTCTTGAACAATAGATCTCTAGAAGTTTCGGACAGCGTGGAACAACATGGAAATTTCTTAGCACGTCAAACCTTACTAGCCTGTAATTGAGGTTGGCTTGTTTGGTAACAATAAGCAATAACCGATAATTAAGTATTCATTTACTCGCAACTATACACCGAGGCCCAATTTCACTAAAAACATATGTTGATTGAAGTTAACTGGCTGTTAATATTTTACATTTATTAAAAAATACAATTATAATCAGTATCAATATTAGTATTTAAAATAAAAGTTTAGTTTAAATTTATGCACCTCTGGGTTTTTTGCACTATTGAAAATACCTATATTGTTACTTGTGTAATTGTTTTTTATGAATCGAATACTAAAGTCGTATAAAAGCAAGATGTAGTAGGTCAGTATTCAAAGGGACAAATTTTTTTTTTTAGTAAAGTTTTTTGATCAAAGCGACAAATGTTTCGTGAATGATATTTAATGTAAGTAAGACGCTTTAACGGTTTAAAACGCGATATACATTAGTAAAACTTATTTCAAAATTATTTCTAACTACGACCCGACGTTTCGGATATTTTGCAGCAACCGTGGTCACAGGTCACAAGTTTAACTAATATATATCGCGCTTTAAACCGTTAAAGTGTTTTAATTAAATGTGTACTATACGTGTAAACTACAGACAGTAATAATGTTCTAAATAAACTATGGTTCTAAATTTTGTTTTTTTTTTTTCATGGTAACATTTTGTCCAGGTTATCGATAGCCCTGGAACTGGTGAACAACCCGCCTGTGTTCTTTCTGGACGAGCCAACCAGTGGTCTGGACAATGTCACGACGGTGCAGTGCGTTAAGCTATTGAAGCTGCTAGCGAGACAAGGAAGAACTGTTGTGTGTACAATTCACCAGCCAGCTGCTTCGCTTTTCGAGTTGTTTGATCAGGTAAGTTGCGAAATCGACTCATTACTCTTTAACCTCTCATGTTTTTTATGGCGAATGTTTGATAAGGTGTATATTTTTAATATGACGAAAATAACAAATAATTGGCTGATGCGATTTGACGACCACAAAAGCGCTGTTTATCTTAAAAGGTAGACGTAAGTATATCGTTACGGACATGTTTTTAAGAATATTTTGGGTATCCGTTGCGTTCGCTGCGATAACGGTTCAACCCTCAATGATGAATATTTTTCTCCGTCTGTTGTACAAAGCTATCCTCGATAAATGCTCATAAAAAAATTCGACCCAGTAGTTCTAAGGAGAATCTAAGGAGATTAGCACGTTTAAACAAATAAATCAGCTTTATAATATAAGTATTTTTGGTTTTCGATATTGACTGGGGATTCGAGTAAATATGAGCGGTTTGATATTTCCTAAATACTTTTTAAATGCAGATAGTCTCGTACAATAATAGTATAATGTAATAAACAGTGTAGCCTTCTTTCTTTATGATAGACGACATACTGGCATGAGTGTTATTGCTGCCAAATTCTTCGTTTATAGTATTTGAATAAGGAAATAAGTGTAATATAATTATTAAATACATAAAATTACCCAATTATATTAATTTACTTTAAACTATTTATGTTAATTTAATTATTATCTTACTAATGAGTAAACCACACTCTTTACTTCTTGTATACTGTGTAAATTGAGCAAGGTGACCATAAAAACTAAGAATATTAAATTAAAGAGCAAGTAAAAAAGTTGCATAAATTATATTAATTCAATTGATTTAAATTAAATCAATTACTATATCGATAGCTGTGAATTTTAAAAGTTGGTTTTTAATTTACATTTTCGTCTCTATAATCTAATTAAATAAGAATATTCTAGAAAAGTTAACAAGGAAACTAATCCAACGATATGGTTTTATCTTATCTATTATATTATAAGGCCACTATAGAACTGCAATCTAGCTTTGTACTTTGTACGAATCCTGGATTTGAAGGAGTTAAGATAATTGTAATTTTAACAGTTAATGTCCGTTTACAATAAAACTCAACTTATTTTTGGAGATAAATATGTGATACTCTAGCGTTAGTTTTGCTGGAGTACTGGAAGGTGAAATGCGGCAGCCGTATATATAACTTCTAATGACGATGTGTTGTTGACCTATTTTGGTTTTACACTATAGACCGGGACCTTATCTCTAATTCGAAAGCATCTTACCAAAATATATTTTATCACCAGTATTTAGCTCATCATTATATGACTCCACGTTTGTCCGTCCTTCTCAGTCATAAATATTTAAAAAATAGAAGTACGGCAATCGGAACCAAGCGTTACTTACGAGGTAGAATATTATTTTTCACTTGGTTGATTTTAATAGTCTTCTTAAGAAATAAATTAACAATGACCATCGTAGACAATTAGAGAGACAAAAATATGTTTGTTAGTCTTTCACGCTCAAACGACTAAATCGATTTTGATAGAATTTTAATATCCCTTAACACCCTGAAATCCTCTTTTACAAACATCATGTTTCAAATAATGGTGGCCAGACCGAAAAAAATACTATTTAGAAATATCTACAACAACACAGCGCACATATTATTGTATAAAACGAATGATTCATTTTATGTAAATTTATAGCTTTACGGTTCGGTTCAAACTAATTATAAGTACGTAAATCGTAAAATAAATTAATTATGGCTAGAACATCGTATTAAAATATACATTTTAGTTCAAGTCAAAATAAGTTTACGTCAGAAAACGTTGATTTTATGTTGTTTAGGTTTTCGCCCTTTGATGTATTTCTTGTAATTATTTGTTTGTTTGTCTGACCGCGCTAATCTCGGAATCGGGAAAATTCGTTTTGTGTTCGTTAGAGCATTTTTCGAGGCTACAATATATCCTGTTGCGACTAATAGGAGCGGGAAATGTGGAAAAAATGGGGAAAATCGTCCTTGTGAGTTTCCTTTGCGTATGTTGCGAAATCGGTTCAACATACCCAAAACATAATTATGTAGAAAAGAATGATGTCTCTGTAAATTATCTAAAAAAATGTTAGCGACAGCATATGTCTATCTTTTAAAGTTGCAAAAACGACAGACGTCGTGGCTGCCCGTTATAATGGAGGTTTGCTAAAAATATATATTGATGCCCAGAACAACTATTGTACACAGACGAAGTCGCTGACGCAGCTAGTAGTTACTATTTTTATTATTTCATTTCACTTATTACGCCTTATTATTAATGACTCGTAGCGCCGATATACCTAATACTTAGACGTTTATATGCAAACAGTCATTTGTTTCATGACTAAGTGATAATATAAATTACATGCCATAAATTAATTTATCGATAAATCTGGGAATGCAGGAACAGGGCTGTCAACATCTGATTTGAAACATTTTCGTTAGAACAATGAATATTAATTAATTACGCGTTAAACAAGATTGTGTAAAGTAAATATTCTTTGTCTTTGGGATTGGGCTCAACCTGTCAACGTTTAAAGGTTTAACAAAATTAAGATAGACTTAGTTTTTGTCTTGCTCATAATAAAAACATCGTTTGAGAGAATTTATTTGTTATGTTCGTGTTACTTTAAATTAATAGATATACATTTAAATCAAACATTTTAACGGTTTAAAACGCGATATATTAGTTAAACTTATTTGAAAATGAATTTTAACTTCGGCCCGACGTTTCGGATGCTTTGTAGCAGCCGTCACGGGGAGAACCCAAAAAATATGTAGGATAGAATAATTCCTCTTTAAACGATCTAAGAAAAAGGCTGCGACTCTATATGTCTATCTTCTAAGATTAGTTTGCAAGAACTACGCAAGAGACGCGACCGACATCGTGGATAATAGCTTAAGTTTATAAAGAACGAATTTGGATGACCAAAAGCACAGCTGGCACAGCTAGTTTATTATAAAAGTATTTCGCGTCTTTAACCGTTAAGAGTGTTACGTGTAAAGTGCATATTATATATTTTTTTCATATGTGTTCAGTCCTTAGCTTTGTTAAAGCAAATTTCTCTATCCCTCCTTCTAGTGCACAAGCACAAAATAGGATCTTGTTCGTCTCCCTCTCGTAATCTTAGTTTCGGCCTCTTGTGTATTAGATATCCTACCTTCGTTCCTCAAGGCGTACCTTGATAGAAGGCACTTATTTGACTCCCCCCAATTTCTAATTGGTTGTCAACCCTACTTATAAAATGTCTTTGACCCACTTCGACTACAGCTGATTTTATTGAACTATCAATATTATTTATTATCTAAATTCATGTTTTATGTATAGCAGATGTCTGATAACAGATATCCTAGTTCTAGGTCGTGCTGAGGAGGATTTAGGTCACTATTTGTGGATGTTTGACCTAAGTTTATCCAAAGATTAAATTAATTGTATTATTTATTGTTTATACACAAAAATCAAATGTGATTTTAGTTTATGAGCAGTTTTTAGTGTAAAGAATAAATAGTTTGAGAAATATTAATATTAATAATTATTAAAATTAATATTAACAGTTAGCTAAGTAAAAAATACCGCTGCTGAAATTCAGTTGTAAACATATCGCTTGCAATAGGTCCCGGGTACTCGCCCTGTTCAACAATCATAATGAGATTTTTCGGGAAAACTTGGACACACATATGACCTGCTAGTAGGTTAAAAGAATAGCGTCTGCTATATGCCCCCTATAGGGGTCACGGGACAAAACTAGCAAAAGTTAAAAATTACAAACAGTATTTCTTCTTTTTATCGATCTTAATATGCAATTTCAAACATAAAATTCTTCATTACAATAAACATATAAGTAACAAATAATCAGCAAATAACATTAATCTCTGTCTATTATGTAAGATGGCTAATAAGTATTGCATTATGCATTCTGTTAGATTATCTTGCATATGCATAAACATATATGTGTGACCTAGTTCAATGCGTTACTGTTACTAGATTTATTAGAAAAATTACCAGAACTAAAAATGTTCTTTTAAAAATCGAAAAAAAATTGACAAAATTTTCGCCTCGGGCAGGATTGATTTTAGGTCGAACCTCATTGCTCAGTAGGACACGCTGTCGGTCGCAGATTCGAATTCCGCCTCTGTCATCCTTTGTTTGAAGCTCTTAATTTTTTTTCTCTTGGCAGGCCAGTCTATTTCAATCCCTTATCTAAAAAACCGTCCTAAAATATATTTCAGTTTATTTGAAACATAGAAGCCGGATAGCGGTTGTATCAAAATTTTAATATTTCAAAATTGTATTAATTTAAAAAAAGCAAAAAAATGCCCGTCTCTTTATAGTGACTCTCAAAAAATAATATTGCATTCCCTAATTCCAGCTACTGTAACAATATTTATTGTTTCATAGATTTTTTGGATTTCCGAATATCCAAAGCCAAATATGTCGACAGTGCATCTTATGTAGATGTAACAAGGCTAGGGAATTTCGCCTCCCTTCGAGTGAACACCTTCATTGTCTGTCCTCGTCTATCATTTTAAAAAAAGTAGAAAAAAACAAATAAAACAAACTATAAAACTTATTTTTCATACCATGGCCCGTAATCCCAACACTAATATGAAGGAATCATTTCCAGTTTTTCTCCTATGGGTTAACGACATTATAATGTGCTAAGAAAATGATTTTCTTTATTGCACTGCGAGTTAAAACATATTGCGTTTCTCAGAAAACTGTTCTGTTGAGAAAATGTTAAAGGAATTCACATTGTTTTAACAAAACATTATTTCTCTTTTGTTTATTAAACAATAAATACGTGTAAGAAGCAAAACAAGACGTGTGGTGTGTAATTAAATGTAAGTTTATATCTTGTGTGTACAATGTGTATACGTATATACAGCGTGTTTTGGTAACATAAGAAAAATAACATAAACAATCTACGAAATATTTTGTAGATTAATGTACAGTATTAAATGACGGCATACCCAAACGCGGTATGCGTTTAGTTATGCCAACGAGTGATAGAGACAACAATATGAAAGTCAAAGTCAATAATCATTCATTCAAGAAAGAATCTAACTTTACAATAATATTTACGACCAGTTCTCAAATAAAGGCATTGAACGAACGAGAAGAACTGGCAATAAACTCGTCGCTACTCCTGAAACACAATATGTGTCATACAAGACCACAGCTTAAAAAACCTATCGAAAATAACTTTATAACATATTTGCTCGTAAAGTGGATGTAATTACACCAATTTCAATATCGTAATGTATCTCATTACGTACTTGTGCGATAATGTAATGTAAAAGGCACGTGTTTTTTTTCTTAGCGAAGAGGTTTTATGTCAAGAAAGTGGTCAATATTTTATGAATAAAATTAACTTTGGGAAATAAAATATTACAAATAAACATTTAATTATTTAATTTAATTATTTTTGTCAATAAATTACAACCGTTTATCTATAACAAAAACACAAAAATATTAATTTACTTTATTAGTAATACTGGCTGTTTTTGTACCTTTGCCTAAAAAAAAGTTGATGCGCGAGCATCGCTTATTCGTGGACAAGTAATTTTTTTTATAACTGATTGAACAATTCACTAAAGATTTATTCGTTTAACGTTAAAGTTTTATTAATTTCCTCGTAATAATGTTATAAAACGTCGTATGACATACGTGCGCTTTGAAAATTACAGCCTCTGCTTTCTTATAGCCCTCGCCGACGGCTCGGGCTAGTAATGTCGCCTCGGCTGTAATTTTCAACTTACCGCACTTATATCATAATGTACTATTTTACCACAAATTAAATATTTATATATACAAAAGAGCATTTGACTTTCAGAAATAGGTTTTCACTGTACACACACTGTGGCGATACAGATAAGACTTACATAATCAAATACAATTCAGAACACCATGTATCTCAAAACAACGTCATAGACTCCGTAATAATTTCAATTGATTTAACCATTGAGTATGGATTTATTGTAATTATTATAATAATGTCTACCGTATTGCCACATTATATAATACCTAACGCTCGTATGAATCTCAAATGAGAGGAACTTAATGGAAATATACAGAAGATTCACCGATTTTTCTGCGTTTTTGTAAGTACCGTCAATATTTCGACAAACCAAAATTTGAAATCTTTTCAAAACTGTATAACGCATTCAACGATAATAATTTTCATTCCCGTGTAGATTGAAATAATGATTTTTGTAATTGTATTGTTATGACGTAAGCAACAATAATTGCCATTCACTTTAGCGGTTCAACAGGTAATGTTGACATTTTTTTCCGTGAATAAGTAAATGGCAACTGACAATGTTTTTTTGAATATTTTAAATGCTTGAAAGTAGGTAGCGAAGAGGATCTTTTTTTAAATTTTGTACATATCATGTACATTTAGTACCTTTATTTTTGTATTTATTTACATTGTATCGTTTTTAATTATTATTTACATTGATTTTTTATTTTACGCCCAACGTTTACTGGCTATAAGGCACTTGTTAATGAGTGAAAGTACCTATCTCGTTTCTAATATTAATATCAATAAAACATTTTATACGGTAACAATATACCGACTACGACAACACAGATGGCGCTAGCGTAGAAGTTTTGACTTAGATACAACAGACAACCTCCATCTTTAACATAAGGCGACCGATATATTTAGTGTTTTAAGCAGTAAAAACAGTTTTATTCAAACGTACTCACATAAAGTACCTAGAGATTTCATTACATTAATTTTTTCATCATACTTCTGGTTCCACTACAATATTTGTAACAGGATTCCGCATATGAAGTATGCAAATACTCTTCTCACATGCGGTCAATATTTATATTTCTTCAATAGAACCAGATGTTAAACTCTCAAGGGTTGCTTTAAAAGCTAAAACAATAGACAAGTGTTGATAAACTTCAGATACGATTACGTAAAATAGATTATACACAGCACAACATTTTGATTTATTTCATTTGACGTATACGCATTTGTTTTCTTTTGTAAGCCGGCCTCGATTATCGTCGATCCGTCATTGTGTATCTACGCAAGTAGTAATTTAAATGCGATATAAATAAAAGATATGTAATTAGTGAATTAATTTTTGTTATGACGGGACCCTTTGGATGCATCACCGCAGTACTTGGTGATGGCAGACGAAACGACCGCTTAAGTTAAAAAACAATTTAGCTAATTCATTTCACTTAACATTAAATTATTAATTATAATATTTATATAAGCATTGTTTCGAAAAGTTTATTTTTGTCTAATATCAATTAACTGGCTGTGTTTGCGACTTTCTTCGCGTAGAATATTAACGTCGACGTCACGTTGTTGCGGCCATTTTTTAGATCATTTAAAAAGGAATCATTTTTGTAGTTCCTGAGATTAGCACGTTTAAACAAACAAACTTTTCAGCTTTATATATTAGTATAGATATCTTTTTTGTACGCATTTATTTAGTTACAATTTAATATTGTTTGTTATAATGTATGTATACACGTACACATATATGTAGGTATATATATATGTATATACACATATGTGTAGGTATGTGTGAAATTAATGGTTTGAGTTAGAGCACCTACGTGTTGCATAATTTTTGCACACGATTCTATATAAGGCTAACTGCGAGTTAAATATTCAGAAATCAGTCTAGATAGACCCGCGCTCCTATTTGGAAAGGTCAAATTGTATTATAAAAACAGGTAAAGTCGTTATTTCCAAGTTACACTAATGAAATTAGTTATTTACGACCAAACTTATCTAAGGTAGACTTAACTTGCAAAATCGGCCCAAAACAGACAAATGGATGACAGTTATATTGTACGGGTTTCCTTTTTTCGAAAGGACCAAACCGAGATATTTAGAGACCCTTTCATACATATTAATTGATTCTTAAACCGCTTTCGCAGCGCACGCAACAGAAGCTTTCAAATACTGTCTATAGTTTACGCGAGTGGTACACATTTAAATAAAACACTTTAACGGTTTAAAACGCGATATATTAGTTAAACTTATTTGAAAATGATTTTTAACTTCGGCCCGACGTTTCGGATGCTTTGCAGCAGCCGTGGTCACGGGGAGACCACGGCTCGCGTTTTAAACCGTTAAAGTGTTTTATTTAAAAGAAGCTTTCAAAGTTAAATGGTTTTCGCCGTTTATTCTAATTTTTCAATTCAGTAGTTTGTGATATTAGCGCGTTTAAACAAACAAACTCTTTAGTTTTATAATGTATTTAAATAAAACACTTTAACGGTTTAAAACGCGATATATTAGTTAAACTTATTTGAAAATGATTTTTCGGCCCGACGTTTCGGATGCTTTGCAGCAGCCGTTTAAGTAATATATCGCGTTTTAATCCGTTAAAGTGTTTTATTTAAATGTGTAACTCCTGTAAACTATAGACAGTATTGATAATGTAGATTAAAAATCTAAAGTAAAATTAAACAATTTTCGACTCGAGCAGGACTTGAACTTGCATCGTCAGCGTTCCGTGCTGTTGCTCTAACCAATTGAGCTACCGAATCCATCTATATATATATGATATAGTGTAAAAACCATTAAAGTTTTCAAACATCTGTACTAAGATAGTGATATTTATTTTGTTTCAAGAACGAATTATTAAAGGACAGACAAAAATGGCGTATTGATGGGAGGTGAAATATCCGAGCCATAAAACATCTAAGCAAGATGTCGACCTATTTTTGTGTAGATACATTTTAATTGTTTATTTCTTTCAGGCGTACATAATAGCTGACGGATTGTGCATTTACCAGGGCGATACAGAAGCGATGGTGCCTCATCTCACTAGCCTGGGACTTGTGTGTCCTAGACATCACAATCCAGCTGATTTTAGTGAGTATTGAAATATTTCACATACCTCCGAAATAAAGGCGAATCTCTAGAATGTCTACCTCAACTCAATCACGTCTTTGTTTTAATAACCGATATTTACAGATAAGTGGACACTTGTGTGCCCCGCCCGATCGAAATTTGAACCCAGGGGACCTTTCGATCTTAGCGCACTGTTAAGCATAAAATAGACCCCTTATCACAATGTTTTTTCTTTATACATGTCATTGCTTTGTGTGCTGTCTGTAGTTTACGCATGTACACATTTAAATAAAACTCTTTTAACGGTTTAAAACGCTAGTAGTTTTTATTTTAACATTAGCGACACGCTCCATCTTTAGTCTGCCGATTATCCGAAACGTTGGATCGTAGTTAAATAATTTTCAAATAAGTTTAACTAATTCGTTTCACATTTCAAGCCGTTAAAAGTGTTTTATCGTAGATTTAGAGAAGAACTTAAGGAAATTGTATCTAAGCATTTGGTTTACTATTAATAAAACCTTCCATTACATATATTTATCGAAATTTGTAAAAAGTCATCTTCGTATGAAAAATTAATTTGGTTCGTACTAAGGGTTTGAAGGACACTTAATCCAATATCTTGGCACGATGACATCAGCTACTTATTGCTGAGTTTAGCCTTCGTTTAAGAATTGATAAACATTCGATTTGAGAAAGGTTAAGTATTAGATAAATATTAGCAATGTGTACGTTTTAAAAAATCAATACATATTTGATTTAAAACAAAAAAGTTCTTATCGTGTCATTGTGTAATGAATTATTAAAAGAATGTCTTATTGTGAAGTTTAATTTAAATTAAAGTAATCTAACTTAGAATTAAACTTAGACGTAAAACACTTTAACGGTTTAGAATGCGAAATATATTGCTTTCATTGCGTTTCGGATGCTTTGCAGCAGCCGTGATGACGGAGAGATCATAGTTGCAGCTAAGCTACGTTATATATTTTGCGTTTTAAACCGTTAAGGTGTTTTATTTCAATGTGCACTACGCGCGTAAACAGGCCCTATGGAACTATTCAAAATTGAAATTTGAAACCAGACTCACTGAGTGTTAGCACTTTAATAAATCCAATTAATCTTTGTAAAATTTATAGTACCTTACGTGATCTAATGAAACATTAAATGTTAAATCGTCTATCGAGTTCGAATCCCGCCTACGTCATTATATTCTTATCGAACAAATTGCGAATGATTCATAAAAATCATTCCATTAATCTCGCTTTGTTGCAGGTTTTTATCACAACAAATTCTTATTAAATTACTTATATCTTACAGTTATCGAGTTAACGGAAACCCAGGAATACATTCAGATGCTGTCGCAAGAAATACTTAACGGTACATTATATAAGTCAACTAAAATCGATGCAAGCTCAGAGCCACCAGCTAGTACCATGCAATTGAAGATCTGTTATCAGACAGATGACAATGTGGCTGAAACCGAAATAGTGCTATCAACAGACAAATGCACATACATGAAAGAATATACCGCGGCGTCATCTACCACACTCGCAAGTAAAATGTCTAAGGATTCTTCAGTGGCGTGGATGAAGATGCAAAAAGTGGAAACGCGAGGTTACCCCACGACGTATTTCCAACAGTTCGCTGTTCTGCTGACTAGGATGTTGCTGCAAATATCGAGGAATCGGCAAGGTTAGTTTTATCTACTACTTGTTGTGCCCGCGACTTTGTTCGCATGGAATAGTGACTTGGGGTAGAATTTTAAATTATTTAGGCTGTTTATTAATTTATGTAAGGGTGCATTTAAGCAGCCAATCTATGTTGTAAGTGCTATTATGCCGCACTCTCACCTCACATCACTCCTACTCTAACTTCCACTCTCATTCCTACACACACTCCCACTCTTACTCGCACTCCCACCCCCACCTCCACTCCTATTCCCAAAAAGCCGACGAAGAAAGTTTCATTGTTCTAGTTTCAAAACCCACGAATTACCATACAAATTTTTATCCCCTTTTTCAACCCCTATCAACCCTTTTTGGCTTTAAAAAGTAGCATATGTCCTTTCTCGGGGTCTAAAATATCTGTGTACCAAATGTCAATTAAATCAGTTAAGTAGTTTCGGAGTTAAAGCCGGACAAACAGACAGAGTTACTTTCGCATTTATAATATTAGTATAGATATAGATTATGCCTACTAGTATGGCTTACTGGTTATACAATATTGAATAGGATTTCGTTTAGCGAGAGAGGTTTAAATTCCAGAGAAGCATTTTAAATTGTTAAAGTCGGGCATAACACAGAAAGCTGATAATAAAAGCCTCACATAGGAACGGGTATTTTCCACAACCTTTTATATTACAGGATGATCATTTTTAAAATGTTACAAGTTATATGTGTATAGTTAAACTTATTTGGAAATGATTTTTAACTTGGGCCCGACGTTTCGAATGCTTTGCAGCAGCTTTAACTAAGTTTAACTAATATATCGCGTTTTAAACCGTTAAAGTGTTTTATTTAAACGTAGAACTTACTAATTTCAAGATTACCTTATCTTTTTATAACAGCAATAATAAAGCAAAGAAATAGAGTACTGTTCATAATATTATATTTTTCCTATAAGTACGTACTTGGATTTTGTATAGAACTTGCAACAATATTTTTTGGTGGGATTTCACTTACTTCCATAATTAGAAATAATATATGTTGGCGGTCTCGTTGGGGGTAATGGTAGCAATATATAAATTATCAAGGGTCGTGAATTCGACCAACGTTTAATGAATTTTTAATTTTTCTAAAACATGTCGGACTTCGTCTGGAAATCTGGATAATAAATGCGTAGTAAAAGTATCGAGAACCATCCGAAATATCGTCCACAGAGGTATCAATTTGTAGATTTCCGAATATCCAAAGCCAAAATAGGTCGATAGCGCATCCTATTTAGATGTTATGTAGCTGGGGTATTTCACCTTTTACAAAGCGAACCTCATGCTTGTCTGTCCTCCGCTATCATATATAATTTCAGCTGTTTTAATACTATTAAGTAATTATTACGTTGTAATTGAATAGACATTGAAATGGTTCGTATACATTTCGTGCTTAATTACATATTTTACGATAATTTTATTGTTCCAATAATAAATTCATTGTTTAATAAATGGAATTCAATATCTCTTTGTTATTGTATTAAGCTTGATATGTACCTACTCTAAGCGGTTCGTTTTCGTACATGTAATATGTAAAGCAAATGATTCATAAAACATTTGAAAGACGTTTCAGTCATGAAAAACATTAATCATTTATACTTTTTACGATTTTAATAATCTATACTTACAGTATAGTTTATTAAAACAAAGAGAATCGTATAAATTGTATATTAGGTATTGTAGTTTATGTGCGTAAACATTTTAATAATCCATCCATGCGGAAACCGGAAAACGTGACGCGGACGGAATTTCGATGTCCCTACCACCCATTTATAAAAAATGTTAGATCCGGCGGGAATCGACACAAAGTCTGCACAACCGGAACTCGAACCAAAGTACGGTATGTTCGAAATACCGACTTACATCTTGATGACTATAAATTGTAGCGTACATAACATAACCATTAATAGATCATTTTGCCTTACAACTTTGGCATTAAACATGTTTCACATAAGTATGGCTTCTTTACAACATATTGCGGCGTTGCCACATTTATGTAGTAAATTAGATTTACCCGCGATGGTATTATCTAAAGAGTGAAAGCGTGAAATTGCTTCCTTGTTGCATGTTTAAGCTTGATTACAGGAACTTGTTCTCTTGTGCTTAAAGACATTCTTGCGAGCTGATCTTACGATAATTGCCAGCGAATTTCAATTTGCCAATCGTGCAGTACTTGTTATAATAATTATCTTTCAATACCCAAATAGGAGAATATAGCGAAGTACTGTGGGCAGTTTACGCGAGTAGTAGACATTATTACACTTTTAAACGGTTAAATGTTAACGACGTTTCGAAACGTCGAGCCGCAGTCAAAATACATTTAAAACCAGTTTAAAAAGATTTCGCGTTTAAAGTTTTTTATATTAAAATAAAATATTAATATTCAAAATTGGACGAGGAGCTATGCTGTAGGTCTATGTTGAGAGACCTCATAATTCTCTTCTTCAATAATATCTTTCTCAACTAACGGATCAGATAGAATATACCCCGATGATTACCAAATATCTTTAAGGGTTCTAGACATTTTATAGAAGAAAGATTAGTGTAGGGGCAAACAAACGGAACATCGAGCTGCTTAAAAAGCAAATTCTTATTAAAATCAACCAGTTCAAATGTATACCAATATCCGTTCAGTGAATACTTCTTATAAACAACCACCAAACATTATTTTCGATTTTTGATGTTCAACATTGGCCTGAGTCTTTATGAAGAGCGAGTTATTTAATCGTCTTTACATTATGTAAACTTGTGTTTCAGCCTTATGGATTCAAACAATCCATCACATAGGATGTGCAATTCTCGTCGGAGTATGCTTCTTCAACATGGCCAATGATGGAACGCAAATGTTCAACCATTTGAAGATGTGCGTCGGGCTCATCATTTTCTTCGCTTACACGCAAATCATGGTTCCAGTACTAGTATGTGAGTAAAGATTTTTGTAAAAAAAGAAAATAAATTGAAAAAAAAAATCGACCCGGGCAGGACTTGATCCCGCATCGTCAGCGTTCCGCGCTGTTGCTCTACCAATTGAGCTACCGAGTCGAAATTTTTTTCAATTTATTTTCGATTTTAAAATCATATAGTGCCTTCATGTGCAACATGTAAAAAATAATAAAGTTTTCAATCTTAACTCTGCTCACAGCTGGGACTCCAGCCTCCTGAGAGGCTAGATAGGTCTTGATCTAGACTGGAGAACAGCTGTGAAATTTAGTGACAAAAACGACTTGCAACGACCGCCACTCAATTAAGACGTTTTTATTTATTTTATTTAACTCCTTTCTTTAACGTGCTCCTTGGTCTAATGGTAACAAATTTGCGGCTAATTATCATGTGGTCGTAGCTTCAATCCCAACTGGGTCCAACATTTTTTTAATCAATTTATAATTTTTCTGAAAGATTTCGCGTTTTAAACCGTTGAAGTTTTTTATATTAAAATAAAATGTTAATATTCAAAATTGGATGATGATTGGAGCTATGCTGTACGTCTGGAAATTTGGATATTAAATGCGTTGTAGGAATATCAATATTGCGACAGGGTCGCGAACCAGCTGAAAAAACCGTGAAATTTAATCATTTTTCGGTTTCAGTCTGTGGATGTTCGAATATCCAAAGCCAAAAGAGTATATATTATATATAATATAGTATATTGGAGTGTTTCACCTACCATATAAATAAAAAAACATATAAAATTTCACTGTGACTGGACTTGCAAATGTATCTTCTTATACAAATTACTTTCATAGATTCTAAAATAGTAATTCTTTTAAAATAATATAAGTTAGCGCGACGTCGTAACGAAAACACAATTTAAAATTAATTATTGACGTAAAACACACGAAAACATAATTAAAAACGTAATAATGCATTAGTAAAATAAAAATTACGGTTCTTAATGAGCAAAAAAACAAAAAGCTACCTTATGTTACATACTTCAATACTTAGTAGTTAAGAAAATTAATAGACAATTTTTGCACCGCCGTTAGAAAAAAGGTGAGGTTTTACGATCTATAGCTTTTAGATTCAATTAGTACCGGGCGTCCATAAATAATGATAAATTGTTGTAATAAAACGGATATTATATGTTATTAATTAAACAAATTACAACAATTATTGCTGTGATATTTAATCGAGCGGTGTTAATTTATACAGCTACTATGTTCGATGTTTTATTAAATCATCATGTTCCTTAATAACCTTATCTTTTGAAAAATAAAAAGATTTTCGACACTTACGTTTTTTAACTACTACCAATGCTATCAAACGCCAGTTGCATTAACGGAACTACTTTTTGATCGTACATCGAATACAGGTAGATTTAAAAAATAATACATAGCGTTCTCAAGCAATCTAGTAAAGTTTTTGAGAAATAAATATGTAAATCGTTTGTATTTTCATTAAAAATCTTTATTATACATAACCATATAATAAAACCCGATCCGGAGTTGAGAGCTATGTAGGTCTAGAGGTGTTTTTTTTTTGATTGGATTCTTACGTATTGTGTTCCTAAGGAGCCACGAATTTAATATCTTTGTATTGCCCTTCGGTCCAGAAAAACTTATAGTTTGCAAAAAAATCACCCACCTAACTGTGAGTTACCTCAACTGAAATTGTCACAGAAATGTGTCTGTCCTGTCATAGCCTACGTATAGTACGGGGCTAATTATTAAAAAAAAAACATACAGAAATCAGCTATCACAAATTCTGACAGTTACAGCCATGCATACACTACATCATTTTCATAACTCATAACATTTTCTTTTTTATTGATAAATATTCTTCTGTTACAGATCCTCAAGAAGTAAAACTAGTGAAGAAGGAACACTTCAACCGTTGGTACAATCTAATACCATATTACGGAGCTTTAACTGTTTCCAAATTACCAGTTCAAGTCTCTTTGAACATCATCTTCTGTTCAATAGTCTACTTCATGGTTGGAGTGCCGTATGCGCATGACCGTTTCTTGACATTCTGCCTTATCGGAAACGTGGTTTCTCTTGTCTCTGAGGGCGTTGGCATGGCCATAGGATCGGTCTTCAGCGTTAGGGTTAGTACTTTCATTATTAACGTCTTATCACATAAGCATCATATATCATCATCGAGCTATGATGTAAATGCACGTTTGTTCTTTTTACTCGAAACCGCTCAACCGATTTTGATTACTTTAATAAACGTACAGATTTTTAAAATTATGCAAGAATTCGACTGTGCATTTTGAAACTTGTGTTTGGGGCACATCATGATATTATAAGTCAGTAAGAGGCAGAGTGGCCTAACTGCTTTATCTTCATAGTCTTAAAATGCTAATATACAAGAGCACAGTGACCGAAGAGGGTTGACATTAAATTTTACACAAACAATAGTTAAATTCAATTTCGCCTAATAACATTGCGCACTTTTATTTTCCTTATTATTAAAAGTCATGTTTTTGTCATTAAGCCATTCTGCCTCTAGCAAGACCTTCGAGCCAAGACGTTAAGGTGGTGGTAGCGAAAAACAAATCATATTAATCAAACATAGACAATTCCCTGTTAATGCATTGCGCGAGAGAATCAATAAGTTGAAAACAATCGACGATAAGGTGTAGGACACGGTACCTCAATTGGTTAGAGCAAAAGCACGGAACGCTGACGTTGCCGGTCCAGTTTTCAATTTATTTTCGATTTTTAAAAAAATGCTTTTAATTTAGCTGATGACAATTATATTATTACATATATCATTTGATTTATTACAGAACGGTTGTGCAATCGGCCCAGCAGCGATAGCACCGTTCCTCGGCCTGGCGATCTACGGCTTCGACTTCGCCCACAAAATCCCCCTCATGATGAACATCGTCATGAAGACGTCCTTCATCCGGTGCGGAGTGGTCGCCATGGTCCTCACCATATTTGGGTTCGGTCGGGAACCTTTGGAATGCAATGACGTGTACTGCCACTTCGCGAAACCTAACGTCCTCTTACAATACTTGGACATCGAAAGGAGTTCAGTCTGGTTCGAGATATTTATCATGATATTCATCATGGTTTCTGTCAGATTCCTTTGCTTCATGGGCTTAAGATGGCGCTTCGCGACATGAGCCCGCACGCCGTACTACAGTACAAAATGTGATAAATTAATCTACCTTAGCCCGTGATGTTATGCATTTTTAGACAGGAATATTACAACCAAAGAAATCCTGTAGATGACTGATTGTCGATGTTTTTAGTATTACTAGGACGATTTGTAGTTTCTATAAGTAAAGGTATTTATTTAATCAAAAGCATATAACAGAAAAGCTACTCTTTGAATGCTAGCTAACAAGTCAGTAGCTAAAAAATGACAAATTAGTGTCAGTTTTATGGCAATACCTTTGTATTTACCTTTTATATGCTTTTCTTGCCCAGTGAATATGTTTTGTGTACTTACGTTAACTGTAAATAATTCCATAAACAACAAATGAGACAAGATTAATTACATTTCTTTAGTTTAAGAATATTTTTATGTTATTGTAATATTTCTTACAATACATATGGCTAAAAATATGTATGTCTAAAGGATACAGTTATGCTTCTCGTCCACATTTAAATTAAGTACTTTTTCTAAATATGTATTTTCATGGCGTTGTACTATCTTAATATTCAATGTTTTAATCATAATATTAAAATAATAGTGTCGCCAGCTAAATAAGGCCTTTAAAAAGTTGACTTCTAATTTAGTCATTGTCTCAATTACATTTTTGATTGTAACAGATTAGTAGAAAAAAGTAGGTTCTTTTAACTAATATTCTATATCTTAAGAACGGTCGGTAATTTATTTTTAGTGAAACTAAGTTGTAAATATTAGTGGTATTATAAGGGTGTGATATTTGTGTAATCCTGAATGAAATATTAATATTAGTGTGATGGGTTCTTACTTTAAGTATTTAAATCCAAATTACACAATACATTTGTATATTACTATGAAATTTACTAAAACAGAGCTCCAGGCCCCAAGGGAATCAGAATAACCTTCTATAACTGAAAAAGGGAATATAAAAAAACCATATTCGTAACAACATTGACCAATGTTGATTATTAAACTAAAATCTCTTTGTGAAAATATCAAACATGTTATTTCATTGTCGTTGTATAGACATTTTTGTACTTTTATAATAAAGAAAGACACAATATTTAAACTTTGTATAATTTCATCATTTACCATATTAAGTCCCCTATTTCCTATTGTTTCCCTTATCTCTTCTCTTCTTTATGTGTTTCTTTGTTTTGGTCTTCCGCTTTTCAGCTTTTTCCTCTTTGATAGCCTTTTTTCTAGCTTTCTTGCTGTTCGGTGACTCATCCCTTGGTCTTGCCGAGTTTTTGAATTTTGTATCTGTAATGGCATAAGGTAAAGGTCCTTTAGTAAAAATATTAATATTTCTGCATAACCACTAATATTCATAGCATTCAACTTAAAGTTAAACATGACAAACACATATGTTATTAAATTTTATAGTTTAGTATGTCAACAAGCTGATCAAAATAATAAAAGCTAAATATTGTCCGTAGTTAATGTAAGTATACATTTAAATAAAACACTATAGTGGTTTAAGCCACCAGCATAGCAGTTTTTACTTTGACAATATCGACACCCTCTATCTTTAATCTCCCCGTGACCATGGCTGCTGCAAATCATCCGAAATGCCAAACTAATATATTTCGCCTTTTATACTAATAAAGTGTTTTATAATTATAAAAGCTAATAAAAATTAGATAGATTATAAAAGAATACCATTTCCGTCATTATCATCGCTTTCACAATCACTCTCAGAACCACTTTCAGAAATGCTGTCTTCTTGAAGAATATCTGGTTTCTCCACAGTTGTTAAGTCTTCATTGAAACCAGCAATCTTTTTATAAATCAAGTCTGTTGTGTCACCTTTCTTCGCTTTGTTGATGTCTCTTTCGTAGTTTATGACCTGGAATATTCAGTCATAGTAAGATTTTTTATCTGATGTCAGCTTACATATAATTGCAGGTAAAATAACAACTAGTATTAGTAGCTAGTATTAATGTATAATTTATTATATTAAATCCTACCTCAGTTAATCTTTTCGGAATGTAAACATTCTTAAATGCTTCTTCCTCAATTTGTTCCTGCGCTGTCATCTCTTCAAAATTTCTCGAAGCTGCCTTTTCTGATAGTTTCTCCATGCATTCTTCCAGATTGTTTTCATTGATTGACGTGTCAGTAATGAAATCAAACAACTCTTTAACTGTCAAAGTAGCAACTCCCCTTTTCCGGAAAAACTCTGATATATTTGTGCAATCTTTCCTTAAGAATTCAAAAGCATGTGGATGATCATGTTCAACAGACTGCGACACATCTATCATAACAATATTGCCATTATGGTACAACAGATTATATTCAGATAAGTCGGCATGTACCAGCTTGCATACATTGAACATTTTCCACATCATCATAATGCAGTCTCTGTATAGGGACCGAGCTGCTGTTTGAGATATTTCAACATCTTTCAGTTTAGGTGATGGCCAGCCATTTTCACCCATAAAGGTCATAACTAGGACATGACTCCTTAATATAATCGGTTCTGGAACATTTAATTGGGCATTATGCAACCTAACCAGATTCCTCATTTCTTTCTCTGCCCAGGTCCTTACCATTTTTCTGGGATTGGACCGACAGTAACCATTTCTAAACCTATATTCGCCAGAAACATACTTATCTCTGTCTTTAAATATTAGAATTGATGTCTTGAATATTTTAATGGCAAAATCCCGGCCATCTTTTGAGGTAGCATGGTAAACATTGGCTTCTTTACCAGTTGATATGCAACCATTGATTTCATTAATGATTCCTCTATTTAAAAGTTTGAATAGAATCATTTTTGTTCTAGGATCCATGACCTGCTCGGCTGTGGCTCTGTCATGTTTATCTTTAATTCTCACTCTTTCGTTATCAAACTTTCTATCGTTAATTTCGATAAATTTTTGGGTCTTATCATTCATAGGTTCATAGTTATCAACATTGATTCGATTGATGTATTTTTTAAACAATTTCTCGCTGGGTTGGTATGATGTGACTTTATTTGTTGGTGCTTGTGGATTCACGTGGTTTTTCTTCTTCGTCCCTTGTATGGGATCGTCAGAATCATAGAAAAAGTCGTCGGAATCGAGTTCTTCATCATCAGTACTGATTACTTTTATTGTTGGGGCATCTGCAAACTAACAGAAAAAGAAGAATTAATTGGAAAGGCTCAAATTATTGTTAGAGTGTGATACATTTAGCTTTTTATATTGAAAAAAGAAAAATACAGATTTGTTGGTGGTTATAAACTAACCCGCACAGATTTTAACTTGGTAGAAATGTCATCTTCAGAGTCACTGTAAACGTCGTTCAATATAGTACTTTGTACATTAACGCTCATTATGGCTATAATTGCAAATAATTTCACTTAAAATTAGTTATTTATTTACATCCATGTGGCGATAAAGCTACTCAGATTTTGATTCTAAATCAAATGTCAAAAACATGCGTGAAATGGAAAGAAACATTATGGTAATGTAACTGTCAATGTCAATTATATCAAAATCACACAAACAGACTATAATTTTTATAACAGGCTGTCGTTCTTTTATTTCAAATAACAATATGTAAGAAATTAAAAATATATACATTCTTTTATCAAGTTATTTTTTATTTGATTTTATATTTTCATCGTACATAATTTATCATATGTAGGTCAAGCTGCCTAGCGTCATCTTTATTTATTAGTAATCTTAAAAGGTATTTAATGTTTGCTTCGCAGGTCTCACAAGAGATGTCATTATTTTAACTATAAACAGTAAAAAGGTCTCCATTTTAGGCCAATGACAATGAAATTGATTGAAATTATTTTTATTGTTAATTATCATTTTTGTATTGAACTTCATTGAATACATATAAGGTTACTGTTAACTATACAGTGAAATAAATAAAAATATTATTTCATTACTAGTATACCTATATAATATGTAAAATCGGTAGTTTTTTCGTGATTTCGCTCGTCTGGTCCAGCAATGTCCTTGAAAAATTCAATTAGAAAAGTGCACACAACTAATTAATTAAATAAATATGGCAAATTAGGAGGGGTTCTCGATTGAGGAATCAAGCAATTCAATGTCAATTGTTTAAACCGCAACGGTGATTCATTTTTGCGTTGTATAACAAATTGGCAGCTTTTTATGTCTTACTTTTTCTTATTTAAAAAACTAATCCTATCATTTCGACCACATAAATTTCCATAAACATAGTTAAGTATCAATTTAATACTAATGCTTGAGACACATTCTAATAGATAATACGATTTTATATAGGTACAGAGTTTACTACTATACGTCTAGACTATGGATATTTATTCAGTAATAACTATAATAAATTAAAACACTATGTAGCTAGAGTAATTTATTTTAAAAGACAATTACCTACGTTGAAAAATATACAAAAACTAAGAATATTATTTAACAAATACTAAATTTCTACTATTCTTAAAGTTTTAGCTTTAAAAAAAGTAAAAATTTAATCAAAGCTATAATGTCAACGCATGTATACATAACAATATTCTTTAAGCCTTCACAGAGACTCTCATCATAGCTTGAGTTTTTTATTATAGTTGATACAGTGCATTATATCGTTATAAAAGTATACTTTTTAGGAAGCTTTGAAGAAAAGGCTTTTAGAAGGCTTTATTGTGAAGCGGAAAGGTCTATTATCGTCTCCAAACAAAAGAAAAGCGGAGGCGGGTTGTTAGTAATAAATCAATATCGACTATTAGGAATACAGGCCATATTTTCCTTTATTCCGTAATCATTTTGAATGCAAAGAAGAAAGAGCGTAACCCATTATTTAAGTGAAAAGTCTAATCTAGTTCCGGTATTCTATGAGGTAAACGTCATGTACAGATTTATACTAATATATAAAGCTGAAGAGTTTGTTTGTTCGTTTGAAGGCGCTAATCTCAGGAACTACGGGTTCGAATTGAAAAGTTATTTTGTTTTTGTTTACATTTATGTTCATTTAGTGTAAAAGGTTTATTGGCTATAAAACATCTCGTTGTGACTAATAGAAATGAAGAAGCAGCGGGAAATGTGGGAAAAACGGAGAAAATTATTATCCTATACTATATGTATATTCATTTTTGTGGGTTTCCGATGCGTACGCTGCGAAAACGGTTCGATACACTCAAATCATATGTACCTTATGAACTCAAATGTTTGCGACACTATATATCTATCTTTTAAGATATATATATATAGTGTCGTGTCATATAGTTTCGCAATAATTTGCACTTGCTTTTTATATTTCTGTACCTTATTGGCGTATTATCAAAATAGATCAATTGTCATAATTCAAACAATTAATTCTCACACATTAAAAAAATAAATAAAATGTACATCGTACAGACATGTATATTTCAATCTCTTCTTTAATTAAACGTTTATTACCTAGTTCTCGAAAAACTACAAAACCAGAAGTTATAAAACAGAGTTCCCCAAACTTTTTTTGTGTCATAGACCCCTCGTTACGTTTTTCAGTGTTAGATCCCCTTATCTGATATTGATTTCCCGTAAATTTCTAACTGTAGTTAAGTTTAGTGTGAAAAACTTAAAGTAAAACACATATTCATTTAATTTAAATTAAAACTACTCAAAAATTTGTATCTATTCTGTTTTTTACTTCATAGGTACTTTTATAAATAATGTATATATATTGATATTCTTAGATAGTAGTATGTAAGTAAATTGGTGCCATCAGTGTGTGTTGAGATCCATTATCGTGGACTCCATTTTCATTTCATGCACCCCCAAATTATTTTTCGCTGACCCCCCCCTTCTCTGCAGGTTGTCGTAAACCGTCTTAAATTAGCCGAAAAGCTTTTTTCTCTTGTCCTTCACACAAATAAACGAACCTACTAATTTAATACTTGTCTGTAACAAATTCACTAGGTCTAGCTTGATGGTCATTTGCAGTTGATTAACCATGTAACAAAGGTCAAGATTGTACATAATTCAGCTTAATTAGGGCCGGAAGGTCTTGAGGTTGGAGGAAATGCTTTTCGTACTTTCCATACTGATATTTTAATGGAATTTGAGTGGTATACTGAGAAAGGGAAGCAAAGCGGGGAGTCCCCAAAAGATGATACCTACTATAGGATGCTACGTGAAATGGAAAAGATGAAATGCTTTTTGTCAAAAGACACATTTTTATAGATCAAAATTAATTTAGATAGAATTTAAATGTTAATGTGTCAATAATTTTGTTTATTCAAATAAAAGTTTACATTTATATATTTGATACTATAGAATGGTAACGTTATTGCTAAACTTAGTACTAGTTTAATTATTTATTATCTGTATCTTTCATGAAACTTAAATACTGTCTGTAGTTTACATTTAAATAAAACACTTTAACTGTTTAAAACGCGATGTATTAGTTAATGTTTGAAACTTATTTTTTACGTCGGCCCGATGTCTCCCCGTGACCACGGCTGCTGCAAAGCATCCGAAACGTCGGGCCGAAGTTAAAAATCTTTTCAAATAAGTTTAACTAATATATGTCGTTAACCGTTATAGTGTTTTATTTACATTTGAAAATTGTCAATTCTTTGTGACATAGACATTAATTTTTCTGGGTTTTGTAACAGATTAAATAGTTTTTTACAAAACTTTTTCTTCAATAATGATTAATTTATAAATACACTCAAGTCAATAAAATAAATATACAAAATCGACATTGAAAGTTATTTTTATACGACCCTGTATGACCTGAATAAACAAGAGTGCAAAAATAACAATTATTGTAGTTTTTAAGCTTTTCGTGTTATAACAGTCATTAATAGTTTAAACTGTCACAGCGCAATCATTTATTTCAATAACAAAAGTGATTTGTTTATAATTTGATTGAGCGCTTACAGTTGCAACCTTATAAAGAGAATTGGTCTCACGTCTATTTAAGAAGGCTGCTAGAGGAACGGCGCGCCAAAATAACATCGCAAATGGCCACGATCGCCCGCGACCATACCATTTAACTGAAGTTTAACATAGCGTTATAGACAGAAAAAGGTATAAAATGCCCGCCGATTCAGTTATTGTAGCGGGGGAGAAGACGACAGATATCCTTTTCGAGAGCATCTCCGAAAGAAGCAAGCATGAAGACTTTCTACGACGTGCTGTGGACTTTCTGGTGGAGCGAGTGGTCTTCGGCAGGTCGAATAGGAGTTCCAAAGTGGTGGAGTGGGCTGCGCCGGAGGAGATAAAGAAGATCATCGATTTGAAACCACGCGAAGGACCCGTTTCTCACGAGCAGCTCTTGACGTTTATGGCAGATGTTAGTAGCTTTTTTACATGTGGTCACTTATGCGAAAGTTAGACGAAAAAATATAAATAATAGATACTTTTTATCACCAAAGTAATAGTTTGAACTTTTAGTTGTTGAACACTGTCTATAGTTTACGTGAGTAGATCACATTTAAATAAAACACTTTAACGGTTTTAAACACAATATATATTAATTAAACTTAGTTAAAAATTATTTTTACTACGCCCCGATATTACGGTTGCTTTGCAGCAGCCGTCACGGAGAGTCCCCCGTATATTAATATATATCGCGTTTTAAACCGTTAAAGTGTGTTATTTAAACTTTTAGTTGTTGGTGAGAATATTTGAATATATAATACCAATAATTTCTCTAGGTCGCCCGCTATTCTGTGAACACGGCGCACCCTTACTTCGTGAACCAATTGTTCTCATCTGTGGATCCCTACGGTCTGATAGGCCAATGGCTGACCGATGCCCTGAACCCAAGCGTGTATACCTTCGAAGTGGCACCAGTCTTCACAATCATGGAGGAGGAGGTGCTGAGGGAAATGAGGAAGATCGTCGGCTGGACAGGTGGTGATGGCGATGGCATCTTCTGTCCGGGTGGTTCGATATCAAATGGATACGCGATCAGTTGCGCGAGGTTTCACCATTTTCCAGAAATTAAGGTAAGAAACGGTATGACGTTTTTAACTTGATTAATTGAAACTCTAAATTTATTCCTCCTAAACCCCTTAAGACCGCCTTGGTAGCGAAATGGTTAAAAGCGTTGTCTAGCATTGTGTTAAGCGCGAGAACTCCTGGGATCGAAGCCCATGGACACAATAAATAAATAAAATTTTGTTTCGGTCGGGCTGATCAACTACTTGCCTGTAAAAGAACCGAAAGTGAAACGGACAAGAACATGTGTTCAACCCCATTTGTCCATTTATTTATTTGCGTGATAAAACATGTTAAAATATAATTTAATTAAACAAAGTTGCCAGCCTGATCTTTTATTTTTATTAGCTATATTGCTGTAGATTATGATCTAGATTCTAGTGTATTATAAGATTTTTTAAGAAATATAACTATTTAATATTTTGTATATCTCAAACTTTATGAATTTGTTCTGAACGTTGTAAATATAACTAACGTTTTTTGTTATTTGTTTTATCGGGAACACAACCTTTAAAATGAAGTTTTTAAGAACTCGTAACAACAAAGTAACGAAATATTGTAGTTTCTTTGCGTTTAAGCTATTTCGTAGATATAATCTTATCCTGTAATTGCTACCTTCGTAGGAATCATTCACCTTCACCTCGATAGAAGACATTATTACAACGTTAAATTGGGTTTTGGTCTACTGTCAAATAATTAGTTTCTTGTGACTATCGTAATGAAAATCCCAAACGAATAGCTTTGAGCCCACACAATATACAAATAATATTAATAACTTCAATACAATTTAAAAAAGTAATATGTGATATTCGAACTGGTCCAGGGTTCGAATCCCGAATACGAATAGTTAAATATTTAAAACCAAGAGCTCGTTAAAAGGCTGCAGAAGTTGCTAAACCCCACCAAGTCGTACTGGAGCCAAGTCGTAGTGGGTCTAAGGTTTTTTAAGAGGGAGGAGTCTTGTGTCCAACAGTGGGGCAATTAAAGCGATAATATACCATTACAATTGTAAATGTTAAAGAGATATAAAAGGAGACGCCTTATAGTTATAATGTTTAATGATTTACATACACGGTTTATGACATATAATTATTATTAAAGATTGAATGCCTTCGGGGCATCTCATCTAATTAAATAATATGTTGCTGGGTTGTTTCACCTGCCAAGTAAACTCATGCATGTCGTCCCCCCCTGTCATAAAGGCTGTCTGTGGATTTCGAAGTGCTCAAAACCAGAATCCGTCGATAGCTAGTTCATTTTACCATTCATGGAATAAGCACCATGCTTGCAGTTATAATATAACTTCTATCTAACTATATACAATTAATATAAATTACGAAAAATACTCGTCGCGGTCTCTCTTAGAGGATATCCTTTGATACTTGGTCATTTTTGTGGTAAATTAATTAATTATAGACTGAATGATACTTGAATAAATAGTGTGATTTGGTTATAATAAAATTATGTAAAAGTAAAATTATCTTGTAAAACTTAATAGGCCTAAGGGATACGGTAACTCCCTCAGGCTTCAAGTTATCATCAAAGTTCCTTCATAAATGACGAATAACAATAACAAGAGTTCCACTTGACGGAAGTTGAAATACCCTACCCATATAACAACTCAACAAAATACGCTATCATCTATTTTTGGCTTTGAATATTAGGTACTCAACAAACTGAAACCGTAACGCGATTAAACTTCACGGCTTTTTTATTTGTGGTTCGTGATCCGAGTCTTCGATATTCCTACCACCCATTCCATATGCAGATTTCCAGACGAAGTCCAATATGCTTAAGAAAAAATATAAATTGACCCATGATTGGACCCAGTATGGTCGAACTCACCCGTTGATTAATTTTAGCTATTAGCCATTAATTGCTACCATTGAACTAAGGAACATATTTACATAAAAGGACGACTTTATTTTACTCACATTATCCAACAATGTTTTATAATATTTGCTAAACTTCTAAGTATGCCAATTCTTATTCCAGACCAAAGGTGTATACGCAGTACCTAACCTCATCCTCTTCACATCAGAGCTAGCTCATTACTCCACGAAAAAAATGGCTTCCTTCATGGGAATCGGTACTGACAACTGCATTACAGTAAAAGCCGATAAATATGGTAGAATGGATGTTCGAGATCTAGAGAGTAAAGTACTCGATGCAATCAATGAGGGATCAGCTCCTTTTATGGTCACAGCGACTTCGGGTACAACGGTTTTCGGGGCGTTTGATCCCTTGCTCCCTATTTCTACTGTTTGTAAGAAATACAACCTTTGGCTCCACGTGGACGCTGCTTGGGGAGGTGGCGCTTTGATGTCTAGGAAACATAAACACCTTTTGAAGGGAATCGAATTGTAAGTTGGACCATTTGTTTTCTTGGAAGCTAGCCTGTTTATATTTATATTTTTGTGAAAATGACAAAGGCAATAATGCCTTGTTACTTGACTGATAGATAAAGATTTTGAAGATAAAATTCAATACGTACGATTGTAGTTATGTACGTTTTTATAAGTAGTGATTATTACTTAAATCAAATAAACACAATTGTCTCTAAAATATAGCTTTTCAATTGATCTAACTTTGAAATATACATGTTTATATACTGTTTATTATCTACAAGTTTGTATTTTGTATTTTAATATAAGTTGCGATAGATTAAGAAACAGTAGAAGTGGAGCAGAACCCTCAACGTCCATCGTTGATGGAGCTCAAAATATTTAATCTAATTCTCTTATTAGTTACCTCTACTAATTTCCTTATTAACTACTTTCAGAGCTGATTCGGTAACGTGGAATCCGCATAAGCTGCTCGCAGCACCGCAACAATGCTCCACGTTCCTGACGAGGCACAAGCACCTCCTCGCCGAAGGGCATTCCTCGAACGCGCAGTACCTTTTCCAAAAGGACAAGTTCTACGATACATCTTATGACACCGGCGACAAGCACATTCAATGCGGAAGGCGAGCGGACGTCCTTAAATTTTGGTTCATGTGGAAAGCGAAAGGCAGCGAAGGTTTCGAGAAACACATCGACAAGGTATTCGAGAACGCTTCGTACTTCCTAGAGCATATTAGACATCGTGAGGGGTTCAAACTGGTACTCGAAAAGCCAGAATGCACGAATGTCATGTTCTGGTATATCCCACGGTGCCTCCGCGGGTGTGAAAACGAACCGGGTTATATGGAAAGACTGCACAAGGTCGCCCCCAAAATTAAGGAGAAAATGATAAAGGAAGGATGCATGATGGTCACGTACCAGCCCCAAGGTAGCTTAACGAACTTCTTCCGTATCGTTTTCCAAAACTCGGCCTTAGAACACAAGGATATGATCTACTTTGCCAACGAGTTCGAGAGACTCGGCGCAGATATAATTGTTTAAAACGAATGTAATAATCAACCTTGTACATTGCACAACGCTGTAACCTGTGATTTTAATTTATAATTGCTTTATTGTAATGTTTTTTAGATGTAGAGTTTATTGTAATAAAATATTTTATTTGTTTTACTCCGATTCAATAAAAATGTTGAAAACTTATCTCGGCTGTCATTGATTCTGTGTGTACCTTCTGTTATTAGAGCCATTAAATTTACTTTAGAATATGTTTAACTTTAGAATAGTTTTAAAAGTAACGTATTTTTAGTACCCGCTATATTTTCATGTCTGTTAGTGCTTATTCATGAACAATTTATCCCGTAAATCAATCTACTGTTCATAAATAAGAAAAAGACAAAATGCACAAAGGTACCAATGATTCTAACAAAATATGAGGTTAGCATTATTTGCTGATAGAAGGAAGACTTCAATAATGATAAAATTACATTATAACATCACAGAAACTGGAGTAAAAAATTAGTCCATTATCTAATCAATTTAATTAGATTTTTCATAATGACGCATGTTTTAGCGATAAATTACAAAGGTACAAAAACTCAGATCTACTTTGGTGATAACTTGGAATGATTAGTTAAAACTAATCGTCGTTATCCGATGTTTGTTCGAGCGGCAATTCTTTGCAGTTCAGCTAGAAACAAAAAACATAACTTAATTAGTGAGCCTCTCTTAACGTTCACCTACCACCTTATTGGTTAAATCATTTCATGAAAGGTTTCAAACGATTGCCTAAACTTACCAAGGTAATATCGTCCGGGACTCTAGAGAGCAAATCGAGAACTTCACTATGAGGTATTCTATTCGGTTTCAGAATCTTCCTTGTGAATTTATGTATGCCTAAAATTACAAAAGTTAGTTAGGCGTAATAGTAGTTCTTGTATAAAAAATGTACTCAATGCTGTAGGCGTTGCAAAAAATAATGAATTACGATAGGACATATAAGCAAACTTAAGAAATGTTAATAATGTCTGTAGTTAATGCGAGTAGTACATTTAGATAATACACTTAACGGGCTTAAAGCGCGATGTACATTAACTATGATCATGGCTGCTGCGAGCATCCGAAAAGTCGGGCCGTATTTAAAATAATTTCCAAATAAGTTTAATTAATATACATATATAAGTGTTTTATAGTATTTAGTCTGCAAAATAAATTATTATTATTTTAATTAAAACCGCCAAAATGAAGAGAGAGTAGATATATAAGAACTTTGACTTATTAGTTTAATTAGTGAACTTCGTGCTTCTACAGAAGACACATAGAAGTGAGTATACTTACCCCACGCCATCAATATATACTTCAGTGGTATAAGATACATTACAAACGCAATGACGGATATCAAAAATATGGCCAAGAAACTCACGAACGGAAGAGAGAAGTTGTACAAGCTGAAAGTATGGATGTCGTAAATTCTCTTAAAATAAGATACTTAAACGTTTGTAAGGCTGTGGTCTCCTATAAACGCCGAACCCTTTGTTAATCTTCACTGTATCTGTATAAGTGTATCTATTAGATCTTATTGATCAATTCTTTTTTGTTTTTGGCTATAGGCTATATATCACCGCGGTGTGACTAATAGAAGCGAAGGAAAATTATTCATATTTTTGGGTAAGATATCCAAAAAATATGTATCAAAGAATGATTCCTTTTTAAATGATGTACAAATAACGTCCGGGACAGTATCTGTCTATCTTTCAAGAACGACGGGACGCAACCGACGTCGGGGGCGTAAATGACGTAACGTATTACGCTATAAGAGGACTATGGCGTTTATATGAGACTGTAGCCTTAGACACATACTTTTTAATACTCTCACCGAGACTCGCGACTTTACCAACGAAGTTTTGAATTGTTTGAATCATATCTTGGAAGTCGTGAATTTTTTGACGCAGCGATCGCTCTTCCTGCAAATTCGAGAATACTTTATGAGCATGCGGTGCCTAATATTTCGGTACGAAATTATGCCGTTCAATACTTTCCTTTTCCTTTTGAAGAGATTCGGCGTAGGAGACTTTTGTGGTTCCTAAAATTTTAAGGTAAGTTTCAAAAGTGGAGAATGCGACAAAACTCGATTGGCTGGCGGTATTTTTCATGTATGTTAATAAGAAGTAAACATATGTGATAGTATACATATATATATTTTATATCTAGCAAAATAACATACCATCCAATTTTGGATAATAAATTGCGAACGGTACCAGAAGAAGTAACGGCAGCATCCACATTTTAAAGATGTTACAAAATAACAGCCAAAACAAAAGAGATACCAAGTTAGCTTTCCTGGATTCCCATTCAAAACATGTTCTGAAAAATATTAACTTGTAAATAAAAAAGACAGTTCGAGCGTTGCATTAGTTTATAAAGCCTTTTCGTATGTATGTATGTGTTTTTCTGATAAGTTTGAGTGATAGATCAAAGTAATAGTATAGATAAAATTAGTACGTGGAGCAAATATTTCTCTCAAATCAACAAAATATATTATTGCTTACTTCATTGTTTTAAAGGCGTTTACAACCCACAAGGTGACAACCCTGCCTCGTGCGATATTTCTGGCTAGAACATGTCTATCGAGTTTTTCTTCACTTTTTAGGAGATTTATTTCCTTCGGATTTATTACACGTACTGAAGCTTTCACCTGCAAAATGACGCATCTTTTATATTCAGTAAGTAATCAGAAAGACTTAGTTAAACAATTCAGTGCGCTAACAATGTAATATTAATTTATTATATGTCTCACTCGCTGTGCCCGCGACTTCGTCGGCGTGGAATTGTTATTTTGGAGATCTTATTATTTATTTGAGAAAACGACCTCCTCAGATTTATAATATAAGTATAGATTTTGCCTAAAACATTAGTTTTATTGACGAGTGATTATTAGGCTCTAAAATATTTTTAAACCATACAATTTTTTTTTGATGGTGTTATTATATAAAATTTTTGGAAATTACTGTTACGATATACACTTTATACAGATACTAAAATGCACTCACAAGATTCCAAGCCACTTTCATTTCCAATAATATTCTCGGGTTAATTCCCCTGGCCCTGTCCCTTTGCGTACTGTCTTTCAGTGCGTACCATTTTTTCCCCGACTCAATGTTTAGTAGCGGAATTGAAATGTATCCGACGGCTTCCCCTTTTCTTTCATCGTAAACTGTTATCTCTAAGATTGAAGTTATATCTGTGACTTTGCTGAAATAAATACACGCTTAGAAACAAATTGTTTCTATTTTAAGTTTAGGAACCAAATACCACTTTTTTATGTAGTAATATTATGTTTGATAACTTCATTATGTTTTACGTGTGCACATGAAGCCACAATATAATTTAAAAATCGAAAACAAATGGAAAAATTTTCGCCTCGGGCAGGACTTGAAAATTAATATTCTTGATCATGGATAATGTCAATGACGCGGGAGGTGCATGTCTCAATAAGTTGAAAAAATTCGACGATGAGGTGTATAAAAATAAGTAAGAATTGTGAAAATCGTTATTTCTTATTTAGTAAAAAGTTATTTATTTTTGGTTCCATTACAATAAGTCTAGAACGCCCCTAAACGCTGGTTTTCAAATGTTTATTGTTTTTTATTTTAAAGTTATACACCAAAAAGTTTTACTTACAAAGAGAAGACTTTCATCCAATTGGGTGCATTTGTTTTATAATCTGTGGCGGTGTGAACCCTTTCATTATTCAATGAAAGAACGCAGTAACAGTCATTTCCACTTAAGCCTTTCGCGCCATAAATTATGACAGAGAGCCAACCGACGTTTGACATTTCGCCAGAAAGACGATACCACAGCTAAAAAATTTACGCTTTTTATATAGGGTTAGTTTTTTATCTGTAAAATCAAAGATACTTTTCGAGAGGTAACATTTGTATATAGACTTTAAGATAAAACATTATTCAATTAATATGGACTCTTCTTTTTTGCTTTGGACTTTAAAATATTTACATAAATTACATTACTTAACTTACATACTTTCTTCGAATACTTTCAGCTTCTTCTCGTGCTTCTTTTTCGCTGATACTAAATAAGGTATTGATGTTGGAAATACCACTGATCGTCAACAGAAGGAATATCTTAATATCTTCTGAGTCTTCTAAATTCAATTTCATTCTGTGTGTCTTCTCTTTTTCCATAGAGGAAAGATCTATTGTGCATCTAGAAAAATTACGTGTACATATTTTTATTTTATATACCAAATGGTATTATGGCAAGCACTCAAAATCATTAAAGATGGCGCTTTGAAATCTTAAAGGTCAGTAAGTACTTAGTAACACTATTTTTATTGTAAATTTTGCTGATAACAAGTTAAATACTGTCTGTAGTTTACACATTTTAAGAAAACACTTTAACGTTTTCTAACGCGATATATATGAATTAAACTTATTTGAAAATTATTTTTAACTAACGTAGCAGTTTTTACTTTGACGTCAGAGACATCCTGCTTCTTTTGTACCTACGTGACCAGGGCTGATTCATTCATTTATTGTAATATAATATGTATTTTATTTATAATATTATACAACTTACCTGCCTATTTGAGCATATTTGTCCCAAACTAATATTTCTAAAATAAATTCATCGTCGTACAAATTAAATGTTTGCAGTTCCTGATATTTCAGTGTACTGTCATGGCTCTTTATCACTTTAGATTTACGCTTTTCAGATCCTATTCTGAAAATATTATAAAATTTAAGAAAATATAAATAAGAATTTAGTACGGCTGTACGTTCATATTTTATTAGCAGCATTTCCTCTGTCTGTGAAATGACCGTTTTTTTGTAAATCAAATCAAATCAAATCGTGTCGTAAACGATTTGAAACTTTTCAATTCGTTTACGAGTCTTTGTTATGTCTTTAATTTTTCAGGATCCGACCTAATGAATACATTTAACACAATACTATGCGCCACGAACACTACTTACTGTAGAATATAGGTACCTAACATATTTTTTTTACCTAAATCGACATCCGATATATCTGGGTTTATCTTCATCTACTATACTGAAGCCGGTTATTTCTATAAGAGCAATAGTGACTGTTGCAATTTTAGTCTTTTTATAAACTTTTGCTATGATATCTTCTTTAGTTGTATTTGATAATACAAGCTGAAAAGGAAACAAAATATTATCATCGGATTAATTTGCAGATAAGTGTAATTAATGTGAAATGCAAATATAGATTATATAACAAGTTTATATAATCTACTTATGAACTTTTTTAGCATGTTATAATTAATTTAGTTTATAATAACAAAAGTATTCTCGTAAGAATAAGTATACGTTCAACATATATCATGTATTCTTAACTATTTTCATCCAACAGGTGTGAAGACAAAAACTAGGATAATAATTTTGTCTTTGTTTATTGCTTTAAACATGTAACTAATCTTATAATTATAATAATGCTGCAGGTAACATGACCTACATATATTTTATATAAATTAAATAGGGCAACATTTAAATCGAAAAATCCCTAATCAGAAGCCTAAAATAGGCTAACTAATTATTTCGTACTAAAAATAACGCAATTCTCGGTAAGCGTCGTATGTTTTACGTTCTAATGACGTTAATAATTAAAAAATACAAAATACCGTCTCAAGATAGTCATAGGAACCTCTTCTTTTGTTTTTGGCATATTTTTCTTTTTCTATCTGCCTACGACGCCTTGCCTCTCTTATTCTAGAACCAATTCTACTTCCGAAAGATTTTCTTGGAGAAGTAGGAGTTCCTGTAGAGTCATCACTATCTCTAACTTCAGTTAGCCTGAAAAGTTTAATGGTGGAACTATAATACTATATGTATAATTTCATTTGCTGTTTTTAAGTAAAAACTTCCAAATAATTACGTGTAATATCAACAAAATTAAATGTTTCAATGTTACTTTTATTAACTATAACAATAATTTATTAATAAAAATGATCAATTTATTTACTTACGATTCCAGACTTCCTTTGAAGGACATATCCAAAAGAAAACCACTCTCACTTTTATGTTTATCACTTTCATCCTTTATAACTATGTTCACTATAGGCACTGTATTTCTTCCACTTACAACGGCTTCTTTATACTCAGTTTCACAAGATTTCGCGTCATTTTTCTTAGTATCTAACGAAACACTTTGATGGTTATTTGAACTTACATTTTCTGAACTTAACGTAGAATTGTTTGTTCGTGAAGATGGAATCTTATTAACTAACACGTCGTCTTCTTGTATACTCGATAAAACATCCATTGATTTTGATTTAGATAACTTCTGTTGCATTTCACTGTACTTCGTCTGGACTCTTGCGTGCAATTTAGAAATATGTTTACTTGTTATTGCATTTGTTGTTGCATGTTTCTTTTCATTTTCTTTTGTTTCATATTCCATTTTTAGATCTTATAATAATTTAGCACTTCACACAATATCATCTATGAGGAAATGTTTAACACTGGCCACTTGTGTTAAATATTGATTCGTTTTATCTTTAGGCATATCTAATCTTTTGTTTGTGATTGAGTACTTAAAAATTGCCATACCATGGTTGAGCTGTTTTTGGTGAAGTTATATTTATATATATGTTATGTGTTTTAGGTCTAACATTTCAATATAGGATTGACGTACTCTGTTTGATTGGAGCACAAAACATCATAACAGGAAAAAAATGTTCGTAGTGTGTAGCGATTCTTTTTTTAATATTGGGTAATTTCATACATTTCTGAAACTTGTCTTTATCATGATCTACGTAAAAGATAATATGAAACGATACCATGATTCACAATTCATTGATATTATGAACAATTAAGGGACATGGGGACTTTTTAGCCTGTGTTACTGATTGGGTTATCTTTTTATCGGTGAGTAGTTACTAATGTTTTATGGTCTTCCCTGGCTGTTACTATTTTCTCTTCTCGGGATTCGGGTGTGTCCAGCCAGTGAGCAGTGGAGGTCATATACTAAAAAACGATCTATTGTAATAATAATGCATACAATTAGATAGATTAGAATAAAACATTTTTTTTAAATAGAGGAGTACCTACTGACAATCATGATTGGTGATCACTGAGAATCACTTGGTGGTGATTGAAGTTGAAATACTCCATCCATATAACATCTAAAAAAGATATGCTGTCTACCTATTTTGACTTTAGACATTCGGAAATCCACAGACTAAAACCAAAACACGATCAAACTTCACGGCTTTTTCATCTGTTGTAAACTTTGCTATAATATTTTTTGATGGATTTTAAACCTTGTTATGTAAACGCATAATACTATAATATTAAACGGGTAAACCAAATTGTCCAAAGACAAGTTTAGTTTACGAATTATTAGGAAATTACAAAGCTTAACGCATTAATTACTTTTAAATTAGATAATCTTTTAAGTCTATTAAAAATCACTAATTTAATCAACTATTATTTAAAACTCTTTCAAAGATATTTAAATTTGTAATAATAGTAATAATACTTGTATTAGCATGATTTTTATATAGACTTATTTATATTCTTATAGTCTAAAAATGTTAATCTACTAGGGCACAGTGAGTGAAATATGATAACATAATTGTTACACAAATAATAGCAGGTAAAAATTAATTTTCGCCTAAGTTAATTGCGCATTTTTATTTTCCTCATTGAAAATATTTTTTTGATTAGGCCAGTCTGCCTCTAGCAGCCTCATATAATATAGCTGCAACACAGAAAACTAATTTCACGGGCCACTTCGTCATAGCGGAGTTGGCAAGTTAGAAAATGCTTATAACGACGGAAAAACGTGAAATGCAGCGGAGCATCAGTGTTCAGGTGAATATATGGCCGACTGGCGCAAGACCAACGGTTTGTCACTTCACCCGCAAATTATGGCCTCCACCCTAAAATGTAACTCGTTTTTTGACGTAACAATATAGCATCGCTTTTAGCTGGATTTTTGAATTGCTACAGATACAACTAAGAAACACTACATTATAGTTATTGTTCGCACGTGTGTTTGAATATAAATATTACGGTCATATTCTGTCTCCCGACAAAAGGACAATGCGAAAGAAAGCGAAGAATTGACATGAGCGAAGAGAAGGCTAATTTGTAGGAATGCAAGCTTTCGCGTTATGTTAAAATAACATAACTTAGGACATATTGTATTATATTGTCCGGCGAATGCGCGGCAGTCTTAACACAGTTCTGAATCTAAGACGTGTAATGACAGAGTGAAGACGATTTGTTTTCTGTAATTGTACAAAAAGAAAACACCGTTATGAAAAGTTTTTATTATGGTTATTATAACTACATTTTTAGCGCCTGGCCAAATGGTAAAATAGATAATACTATAAAATATTTTGTTTCTTAAAACACGAAACTACTTTTCAGGGTTATAGGCAAAATTAATGTTATAAAATCCACTCTATAGTTTAATTCTACATCAGGGTATACATACAAATACTGACAGACAAAATTACCCTTCGATTCGTATATGCTGTATTTGGGATAAATTAGCAATGAGTTAAATCCATTACCAATTCATCCATTATTCAGTGGAATCTTCCACAAATTAACGGTTTGTTTATTATTCAGTAATTAAGCGTGTTGTAATATACTAGTGTAGAAAAATTGTATCTATGGTAATATTGTTTGTTTGAACGCGCTAGTCTCAGGAACTACTAGTTTGAATTAAAAAATTCTGTTTGGGTTAGTTAGAAAATTTGTGCTGTGATAGTAGAAGAGAAACAGCGGAAAATGTGAGAAAAATCATTTCTCTTTTTGGGTTTCCGATGCGAACGCTGCGCAAACGGTTCAAGATACGCAAAATATGTATGAAAGAATCATAAAATGATTTATAAAAATATACAAGCGACACTATACGGATTAACTTGCAAGAACAACGGGGCGCGACCGATGGGTTGGATCCATTTTAATTAAATTTATAAGGATGAAGAGGAGGTTTGCAAAAACAATTTTGGATGCCCAAAATAACTATGGTCCGCGGACGAAGTTATTGACACTGCTAGTATGTAATTTTGGCATTTGTTTTAACCAAAATTTACTAAGTTTAAACGTCGTCTTACGTCGGTCAACCTTATATCACACTAGTTCTAACTATTTATGTCAAACAAGTATAAGACGTTCAAAATTAAACATAAATAAAGTTGTTCCTAAAGGCTCGCTTTCGTTTCAAGGTCTTGTAAAAATTCGGATCACGAAATTCTGATCGCAATTTGATCGGTTGAGGACCTGGTCTCGTGCGGTATTGAGATATCTTTCTTTGAATTTATGATGCCTATCTACTTTTATTACGAATTGGATGGAAGCGTACAGATGTCCCCAGATATGGATGGGGATATGACTGAATGTTCGACTATTTTCAGGGCTGTAGAGACGGGGGATACTATAGATAATATTCTTCTTAAGATAGCCTTTATGAGAACGAGTTATACTTTCACATATTAGATGTTGATTGAAATAACTATATTACGTGCGCAAATAAATATAGATAAAATATCAGGCTGCCACTAATAGGAGGATTGATAGTTCGCGGTAAAAACGCTTCTAGATATCCAAAAAATATATTGAAGATTGATAATGATTCTATCATTTGAGATTAACTTACAAGAACAGTTTTTATCGTAAGGAAATTTCGTGGAAATACTTCACATACAAAAAAAAAGTTTGCCAGGTCAGCTAGTTGTCTTCTATTTATAGTTCAATTTTTTAACGGTAAAAGACCATAACAAATATGGGCATAAATTCGATTTTTTTGATTTTTGCTCGATACATACATCGATATCGAAAATAATATATCTGTTAATTGTTGACGTATGTATTACTAGCTGGTGTCCGCGACTTCGTCTACGCAGGATTAGTATTTGGAGTAGCTAATTTAAGTGGCACACACGCTAATATTAGCGTGGCGTAATATGTGTAACTAACGTTTATGGCAGCGCACGCCAGAATAGCTCGCAGAAAGGTAGGATTTTTCCTAGTTACTTGACACCTAATGTCATATTTTGGACAGCTCACACAATATCTTTTCAAATTGTAGCCTATGTGTTATTCTAATGTATAAGCCTATATTGGAAAGTTTAATTGAAACCATTCAGTAGTTTTTGCGTGAAAGAGTAACAAACATCCATCTACACATACAAACTTTCATGTTTATAATATTAGTAGGATATCCATTCGTACTACTTATTGCACAACTGTAGTAAATAAACAGACAATGACAGTAACTATTTTAAGATAGCTGTAGTAGAATACTCATCTCGTGCTCACGAGAAAGTATATCTTTCAATTCATTAGCGGGTTTCAAAGGTCCGGAGCCAAGTCGACATTTTATCTTTACACCACGAGTAACTCCAACTTAATTGAAACTTGAAATCTTTTGAATTAGAGATAGTTTGGCCTTCGAGACTATTGAGAACTCTTGAGTTAGAGAACTTTCATTTCGCAGAGTTAGAGTCAATTATTTTTAGAACAGAGTGAGTTAGATGTTAAATAGAAAATGAAGGGCTGTTTTCAATTTGATGTTTGTAGCTTTCTTTTTAAATAGTATACTTTAAACGCGGTAATACGTAAAATGAACATACGTTTCGAATGCTTTGCAGCAGCTGTGGTTACTGGGAGACTAAAGATGGAGGCTGTGACTAATACCAAAGTGAAAACTGCTACGGTAGCGACATCTGTTCCGCCGATGGTATTTGGCGAAACTGGTTGAGTCCTTGCAGAACTAACAGTGCCAAACGCGAATAGTAAGCGAAGCAGTATTTACTTTGACATTAGGAACACGCGCCATCATTAGTCTCCCTGTGACCACGGCCGCTGTAAAGCATCCAAAACGTCCGGCCATAGTTAAATAATTTGTAAATAAGTTTAACTGATGCATTTCGCGTTTTTAACAGTTAAAGGTGTTTTATTTAAAGAGCTGACAGTAGCTTTCTGTTTATTTACTTAAGTTGATTTTCTTCTTCCTCTTTTAAACGTCATCTTCATAGCTCAGTCACATGGGAAAAATATAAATCTGTCAATCACCGCTATATATTAAGTAAGACTATATAAAATTGCTTTTTAACTATGTAGGGAGGGCTACTTCATATCTTAATACAAATTTATACGGTGCTATTCAGGAAATAATTTAATTGTTCTCCTAAGTCGCTCCTCATATTTTCGATGACATAAATATAACACAATTTTAGTAATGGAAAGAACGAGACCGTACTTAGTGTTGAGTGTCTGTGAAATATTGGTTTACCTTTCTAGAGACAAAAATTTTGATAAGATTTTAAAGAAATTTCTCTTCAATACATTAATAGAACTAACGTTAAAATTTATTATAAAAAAAAGTAATCATAAAGATTTGTTTATAGTAGAAAGAGCATGGGAAGCTTGGGATTAACTTGGAAGGTAAAATACCCTAGCCATATATATGCGTTGTCAACAATGTTCAAACATGTTTAAACATTTAAATAAAACAATTTAACGGTTTAAAACGCGATGTATTAGTTAAACTTATTTAAAAATGATTTTTAACTTCGGCCCGACGTTTCGAATGCTTTGCAGCAGCCGTGGTCACGGGGAGACCACGGCTTTTTAAATAAGTTTAACTAATATATCGCGTTTTAAACCGTTAAAGTGTTTTATTTAAATGTGTACTACTCGCGTAAACTATAGACAGTATTTAATGTTTAAACATGTTTAATACATTAAAAACTGTGGCCTGGATGGAATTTCAGTACGATGTTGTATTGATAGTGAAAGTTTTCAAGAATTGGTTGTTCGCGTTTTTCAGCTAAACCGTTCCGACGAAAAATGTAAATCATCCGATTCTCTATAGAAAATGTTTTCCCTTTTTCATAATTATTGCCATTTCCGTCATATAGCGGTTGAAAGAAATCAAATCTGACTGAATTATATTAATGAGACAATTCTTTATGCCTCTTTTTTTTCCATAGCGGTTGTGGTGATTTGAAAATATAGTCCCTAAGAGTCAACTCGGTAACACTTTAATAAGAAAACTTTCCCTCTTCGATTGGAGAAGTTTCTTAGCTGTGAAATTATTTTCCTTTTACGTGTCCCACATTTATAGCAATGCGGGATGATTGATGAATTTTCGATCTTTGAAAATATTTTAATATGAATTCGCTTCTGGCTTTTCATCTTAGGATGTTCGGTTTGACTGTTAGCGAAGCGACTGTTAAAACTAATCTAGTGTATTTTTTCTGATAAACAAACACACAATTTACACGTAATCGTGTTTTTCTCAAGGTTTACATTGATTTAGACTAAAACACTATGAGACACTGGATTATATATTTAACTAATCAAGTATGTAATAACCATAATTTCATTTTAAAATTAATGTAATTCCTAAAAATTAAGTTCGTGAATGGAAATATTAAATTCCTGTAACTGTTTTGATATGGCATTTCATAATAATGTTCTTGTTTGTGTATGAATATAAATAAATATAGCTGTTACGCACTACGGCGTTCGCGTTCCGTCTTTCTTGCTTGCAGTTATTTTTGTTTGGATCGTTTAAAAAGAATGAGTGAATATTTGTTTCATAGATAAATTTGGGTATACCGATTATATATAACGAATAGTTTACCTCGTTCGTTCCACATCTCCCATTGTTCCTATCGCAGCGTTATACGTATTTGTAAGAATTAATTATCTAATCCGTTTTCAAACGTTCGCATTTATCACGGTATCAATTGTGTACAATTAAAGCAGGAAATATACCTGATAGAAAAACATAAGCAATTTAGCATCGACGCGCTACGTTTGTTTCAATTTGAAAGGAGCATTTAGCAGCAATTTTTCGTGTTCGCGAACAAAATATTCGATCAGCCCCGCAGTTTCTGGAGTCGGGAGCGCTCCTAGAATACAGCTATGAAATTCAAGTCTTTACCTGTGAATAGGAAGCAATTAATCTGTCAATTGCAGTATCGCGAGCTATACGGTGGATCGGCACACGACTGCGAGATTCGATTGCGCTAGAAATTCACTCCTGCATTAGTTATTAAATAACTCACTTAACGAGTGACTTGAACGCCTTAATATCCAATATTTTTATCGCAATATTCAACTTACTTTAGTATGTTTTGAGCTCAAATCCAGGAAAATATTGTTTCGATATTAATTAAAAATTACGACACATGATGGAATTATATAATTTAAAATTAAGATTGAAGAAAAAAACGACATGGGCAGGATTTGACGATCCACAGCGTTCCGTGCTGTTGCTCTGACCAGGAGTTTCCGTGTCCTACACGTCGTGTGCGTGGAACGCTGTGGAGGCCGGTTCAAGTCCTGTCCGTGTTGTAATTTCCAATCTAAAAACATTTTTAATTTATAACATTCTATCATGTACAGTGATATGCGAAAAATGTTATTATTTTCATTTTGCTCTCTTACACCAAAGAAGCAGGCCGATTTACTTGTAATAAATTAAATTGATCAATTCTATGTACACCTGCAGTAATACTTCAGGAACATAGTTGCTGTCAAACTATGAACAAAATGTGTCGTTTATCAAGGATTCGAATTTGGAAATTTGCCACGCGATTACGGCCGTGGAAGCGCTCAGGTCTACAATATTTCCTGGAATTAAAGAATTATTATAATTTACTTGCGTACTTAAGTTTTTCAATTGATATTAGGAAACAAAATAATATCTTTTGTAATGTAACTAAACTTATAGTCCTACTTCTAGACTATAAAGTGCTGTTGTTATTGGAAATATGTGTTTTTTAAATTAATAAAAATACACTGCCCGTACTTGTGAAAACATTTATTGAGTAAAAGTTTTATAAATACAGACGCATAATACATTTTATTTCGATGTCGAAAAAGCTTATCCCTAATACTTATAAATGCTTAGTGGTATGTCATCTCTTATTAATAAACAATTTTACTATTTTCGGCAAATTACCTTCATTTAGCTAGATATACAATTTTATTCTTTGGCGTAAATTATACGTATTTAAATTTATTTACTACTTTTTCATAGCCGTTTATAGCGTTATATTCGCGCGACAAGATTATGAACGCAGTTCAAACATTTATCTAGAATTAGAATCGTGGAGTACTAATCAAAACATTGGAAATTTATACAAAAACAGTAAAAAAGCATTCGACTAGTTCTTATTTTTAATGGCTAGTGGTTAACGTTTATTATGATGTGTACATAATACTATTAAGCGCTAAAAACAAATACTTAACGTAAATAAACACTTAAAAGGTTTAAAACGCGATATATATATAGGTAAACTTATTTGAAAATTATTTTAACCACGGCCGGACGTCTTGGCTGATTTGCAGCAGCCGTGGTCATAGTTTTCAAATAATTTTAACTAATATATATCGCGTTTTAAGCCGTTAGTGTTTTTTTAATGTGTACTACTCGCGAAAACTACACAGTATTTACGTAACGTAAAGTTATTTATTTTTTAATATGGACGCTTTTCTGTCATAACATACATTCTTTCCGGCTTTTTGAAGTGAAAAGATTTAATTATTTTAAAAACTGAACGTAACGGAAACTTGTAATTTATATAATAGCAGAATTTCGTCAATCGAGAACAATAATATACAAGAATGCTTTCGAAACGTAATTTTCTTTTCCGACTAAAATTATATTTACAGTCCCGTGTCACTTTAATCATTCACTCATAATCATCAATATTTTAATTACAAATCGTGCTATTAAATAAAATATAAATATCATCGATCATTAGCATATTCCAACAGATTTTTCATACAATTTTTACAAACATCAACGTCTACAGTTAAGTAAAAAACTTTAAACGGTTTAAAACGCAAAATATGTTGGTTAACTTATATTTACTTTAACTACGGCCCGACGTTTCCGATGCTTTCCAACCACCGTGACTTGGGGAGACTAAAGATTATCCAAATACCACGACAGATGGCGCTAGCATAGATCTAACTATGACTAATAGACACCCTCCATCTTCAGTTTCTCGTTACCAAGCCTGCTGCAAAGCAACCGTAACGTCGGACGATAGTTAAAATAATTTATAAATAAGCTTACTAATAAATTTTGTATTTTAAACCGATAAAAGTGTTTAATTTAAACGTTAAACGCGTAAACAATAGACAATAATCGATGTTTACAGCGAATTAAAAGTCTTTGAAAATTATATCTAAACACGATGTACCTAATAAAATACCAATTTAGTAATCAACCAAAGTTTTCTTTAACGATCACATCCACTTTAAGAGCTGGTGAGACCTATTATATATTAGATAACTAGATCTAAAACGCAATAAATCTTTAAATAAACATCTATTTTTATACTCTGTAGCGTGCAATAGATAATATAGATACTAATAATGGTATATATTTCCACAGATCAGCGATAAATGTATCTGTGGTAACAGAAATTCGATTTAAGTTTCGAACATATTCGTCACTTGAATAAATAAATCGATTTGAGATCTTTCACTGTCCAAATTGGATTAACGTTGATGTATGAAGAAATTAAGTTTCTCTTAAAGGTTGAGCAAATATATCGTCAAGTAGCTCTTGGTATTCTTCGGCGTTGTATAGGTAGTCCTCGTCATCTTGTGTGGAATTTGGCCTGGGATGTAAAAAAATATATTTTTTAATGATATGTCTCTAGAAACATCTTTTAACATATGCTATATAATTTTATAATATTTATGTAATGTATTTTGACGAGGTCGTGCGTCCACTAGTAACAATGTCGTAGGTCCGATTCTCACCAGGTTGAACTTCTTAATTAAGACTTCATCTGGAAAATCTAGGACTTAAATGGCGGTAGGAAACATTCAAGGAACATAAAACCGTCACGTTTAATCGTGCTTCTGCAGCGCATCTGGTTTAGGTTCCCACCTGTGGACCTCATGCTTTGCTTCAGGATACTGATTAAAGCCATAACTGGGTAGATAATAGCTACTAATATGTAAACAAGAATAAAATGGAAAAATATGGAACGATATCGGTAACTGAGGAACGCCAACCTACCTTGAAATACTCCTTTTTCTCCTTAGGCTGACATGAGCGGTTGCTTCTATACATAGCACGGCGAAACGGTTATTGCACGAATACCTGTAAACATAGAAGCATTAGTACCTTCTTTTGTTCCCGGTATGTTGGCATACGTCTACTCGTATACAAATTTGTTTATTTAAAGACGCTAATCCCAGTATCCACTGGTTCGAGTTGAAAAATTATTTTTGTGTTGGCTAGAACAGTTAGAATTTATACGGATGAGAAGGAGGTTTCAAAAACAAATGTTGATGCCCAAAGTATTCTACGCAGACGAAGTCGCTGACACAGGTAGTAATTTATAAATAAGTCTTTCCATTTTTGCAGCACCCGTGACTACAAATGCTGCAAGGCATCTGAAACGTCAAGCCGTAATTAAAATTGTAAATAAGTTTACTAATATATCTCTATGTGGGTTTTGAAAAAGTGGCCATTTTTGATCTGGGGGCATTTCAGCTTCTATCAAGTGAACGCCACGGTTGTCTGTAGTCCTCTATCATGAAAAAACATTTTGGTTCTTCTTACCTTTCTTGTGAGAGGAGTTTGTGCGAATAGAGAGATGCCGCCATGCCCCGGGACGTTGGTTCTCCGTTCTGCCACTCCTCACAGAATGTGTCCAAAGCTCTTTCACCGCTCGAGTGGGATCCGTGCCATATTAGCTTTTGAGGCCTGGTGATGTCAAAATATTATAAATGAGCTTTATGGATAGTCTATTTAATGATGTAAAATATTTGAATGCTTATTTGATGTAAATTAATAACTTGTTATTTATGTGAAATTGTTACGGAAAAGGCATTTTAATACGAAAAATGTTTTTTTTTTTTCACGGACGCGATTACAAAATATAATTTAATTAAATTGAGCAAAACTTGAAATATTTCATTTTAAATACTGTTTATAGTTTACGCGAGCAGTACACATTTAAATAAAATACTTTAACGGTTTAAAATGCCATATATATAAGTTAAATTTATTTGAATTGTTTAATGTGTGAAAGCAGCCATTTTTGTGTCCCTGTGACTACGGCTGCGGCAAAGCATCCGAAACGTCGGGCTGTCGATAAGATATTTTTTATACAAGTTTAAATAATGTATCTGGCGTTTTAAACTGTTAAAGTGTTTATTTAAATTTTGTGTACATGAAACAATCATCTGCTGATGTTTACCAATTAGAATCCATCATGATGTTTTTCCCACTGAAGCTATAAATTCGGGGTGTCCCAGGAATGATGCCTCCGTTACCGTCAAAGATATCTGAGAATGCCTTAAAGAGCACTTCGCCCATAATATTCACAACGGGCAAGTGTCGGTCCGCGTATCGTACTGTTGAGTCCAGATTTTGTATCCTATGGAAGATAAGCAGAAAATAATAAAAGGCGGATTCTTTATACTAAATATAGTCCATATATAGAATAGAAATGAAAGTTCGAAGCAAGTTTTTAGAACATGTCATCTACTCGTGTAAAGGTGAAACGTAAAGAACCTTTTCTTATTTATGACGGCAATACACAAGTTGCTTTGCATTTTGTCTAACTGGTTTCTGTTTTATTTTAATATCTATTATTAGAAACATCTGAACAAGCCGTTCAATGAACGTGCAATGACGTCACGTGGCTTGTAAGAAAAGGAAATCCATCGGTTTACGTTATAATACACACACCTCCTTGGAGGTTGTCGTGCTAGACGGTTTTATTTTAGCTAGACGATCTTATATCCATATAATTATTTTCATCTTTTCTCCTAGTTTATAACAATATAATCATATTGTTATATAATATTATACAATAAGTCGCAATAAAACTCATACCTTACCTGCTTGTAAGGAAAGCTCTGAATGTTCCTTTTAGCCCGGATCTTCTCGCTTGCCTATAACAGGCATAGTCTGCCCGTCGAACACCGTTCATGTTGCCGGATAATGGATCGTTCAAGGCGGCAAGACGGAGCTATCAATAATGAAAATGTTCGTTAGACTAAATACTAAATTATTGGTGATAACTGAACCCAGGTTGGCGCCGAAGCCCCATCCCAGGTTTAGAAACTGGAACCTCGTCGCCTCAGTTGAGTGCACTAACTATTAGACAGTCAGGCGTCAGTAAACACATGAGACACAACAGACATAAGCGGAATACATTAGGTCAGATTCTTTGTAGACACCAAGTTTGCATATTGCCTACGCGAGGTACAAAGCCTAAAAGGTCACCTGGATAGAATTAATCATATTATGGTGGTCTTAGAAATCGTCAACTTGAAACAAACACATTATTCGACAGTGTTTGAAACCAGAGCTTTATAATTGCTACCATTAGACCAACGAGACCATCAATTAAGCGTAAAGATAGGTTTAAAGATTAAGTCATTTAGTGTTGTGTACGCGAAAACGTACCAAACAGGCGCTTTGGTATGGGGATTTTGGTTCGATAATTGTTTACCAACCCCGTAGTTGCTAAACGCGAAGGATGGATCAGAGTTTTATTTCTAGCTCAGTTGGGTGAGACCCACCGTCGATTTACTTACGGCAGGGTGAGCTAGTAAAGAACGTACTTCCAAAGTACCAAAACCGACTTCAATTTGCCAAATTGTGGTAACTATTACTATAAATTCAACTTTGATCGATTCAACTTTTCACGCAAGCATTGAGTCAACTAAGAAACCACCAATTAAGACATTCCTCATACTTTATCCATAAGCATCTGTAACCCAGCTTACAGATGGTTTTTTAAAACTCACGCTGGGTCCTACAGGAGCAAGTGGTGGTGAGTTGTCCACGAAATTGGATATTTGTCCCACTTGAACTAAGCTGCCTGCTGGCATTGGAGGGGTGACTGGAGTGTGCGTTGTGGTCACAGGCGCGGATTGGGTCACTAATGACCCTAACTGTAAACATGTTTTAGGTATGAAAGTTGTTTACGATAGATAAGCTATGCTATCTATAAAAACACTTACTTATGATTACTTAAGTCTAATCAATTTTAATCCATCTAATAATTGAAGTCTGACTTGTGTGATATATAAATTTATCTTTCACATACCGAAACATACTGCCATCCAGAATTGACTTTTATCAGCAAGGCTTGTTCTTCTGTTACAAAAGCCAATGCACCGACAGGACTGGATGATGCGAGCTGTTGGTAAATGATAGAAATATCAGATTTATTAAATGTACAGGTTTTTACGATGTCATATCCAAAGTCAAACTAGGTCGACAATCTTGATTAGATGTTATATCACGTGGATATTTCACCTACCATCTTGCGGTGGTCTAAGGCGAGGCTGATGCACCCTTGATCTAGCCACAAACACTACCATCAAAATAACTTTTTTTTTGTGGTAGCGTTTGCGGCGATGGTGAATTTGAAATATTTGTAGAATAAACATCCACATACCCGCAACATTTCCTCGACAGTTCTGAAGACGGCAGCTCCCGGTACGGTTTTTGTAGATTCATCTGCATGATGGCTTCTTGGTTCTATACTCTCTCGGCCTGAAATTTTCAGATTATAAAACCTTTGACACAGACATAAATTGGTTGGCCATAATAAACGCTAAACAATGGTTGTATGCTTGAAGTATTATGAATTACTCGTAAATTAGGAATATTAATCAATTAACATTTAAATTTTGTTTTTAAACAAAGACTTCAGTTCAACCTCGGATAAACTTTTTGCCAATGTAATAATGAATCCCTTACTTACACCACGACTAATGTAGGATTATAAGTTTACGAGTTGAAGTATGTAACGATGTACTAGTAATCATATTGTGCTGTAGTGGTGGATGATATTAAGATACTAAAAAGATATGAATAAATATTTGAAAAACATTTCATTTTGTTTATGTATATTATTTCAAAAACAAACTATCGATTTTATGATATCATTAATCAATATACATATACAATCACAAACGATTAGATAATATCCTTTCCCTTTGTTTTAACTTATCATCCTAACCTAAGTCAAGGACGGTCAAGGTAAAAACGATGTTTACAGTGTTTCTGACCTTCAAATCTACTAACACAACTGTTTACAATATACTTACTATTGGTACTGTTTCAAGTTAAACTTACCATTCCTTTCTTTACTCTTTTCTTTTAGTTCCCTAAGTTCTTTCAATGCTTTCAAGTCATCAAATGGACTTTTTGCAACTATTCCATGTGCAGCATAATACATTTATATTAGTGAGGGGTAAATACAATAAAATTTTTTTATGTTTTTGCATCAAACTTTGCGTCCAGTTGATAAGAAAACAAAACAATGTACAAGGAAAACAAATTTAGATTTGACATTGACCATCAGCATACGCGCGCTAATAGATAAAAAAAACGATTATTTGTGAAAAACACGGATCCAAAATGTAAGTAACTTTTTATCGTATTTTGCAACACCACATATCATCTAAGACGCGTTTTCATTTACTTTCAATGTCGGGTTCAGTCGACGAAATTAGAACTTCCATTAGTAAACAGAAATTAGTTACATACCCGGTCTGCCAAAGTACTTTGTACTTCCATGAATGGGTCCTTCTTCTATGTAACTGATCCCCGGCTCCCCTTTTGGGCCGACAATTGCAACACCCGGGGGGCCAGGTGGTCCAGGAGGCCCTGGTATGTACTGGACGACGTCAGACTTTGCACTTAAGCCTGGTGGGCCCGGTGGACCCTGGTCTCCTTTAGGTCCAGGCAAACCGAGGTCACCTCTGTCACCCTTTGCGCCTTTAAACTGCGAAAATGAATTAAACTTTACAAAGTGCAAAAAAAAGGGCTAAGTAGAAAGTTTCCTTAATGAAATCATGTAATTCAAAGTTGGATCGCGTTACGTTGTGCATAGCCTTTAGTTTTTATATAGAGCTATAGAGACAGCCTTATAACATAGCCTTATTACAAAATGCATTAAACAATGCAGAATAATAATATTTTTTATGAGTCAGCTCGAAATATTTCAAATGACTTTGCAGCAACTATCTATGTACATATAATACCGTTCTCATTAAGATAATCCTGATATCAATAACTGCTGATAATGCTATTTTTTAACCTTCCTGGGAGTTTTGAATCCGTATTAATTCCGTGGACGTCCACTGAGAACGTCTCCGATACAAATTTGCTAATTATAGAGAGTCAAAAACTTAGTGAAGTAGACGTAAAAATGAAGAGTAAGAATATTTTTTTTACATTTTTTTTTTACTTTAGTTTTAGTTGACCGTACGCGTTTTTAATAAACCAAAACTGAATTTTGGTTCATTAAAAATGGTACTAATTTACTTTATAATACTGTTGACTAATTAATTCTTGCATATAAATTAAAACGGATTGCTAGACGAATTGAATATTAAAAATAATTGCTAATTATTGTGAATCTAAATATGAAATAATATAGCCAATTATTTTACTATATTCTCTAATGAACGGAATTTGAATAGAAGACTGGGACTGGAACAGCATCTCTCCTTACACTGTGGCCCAAAAAATCAATATTATTTATACACTCTTCCTTACTCTATATTTATTAGATTATTTTTTATAAATTTTAAAATACGTTCTTCAATTTATAAAAATATAGCATAATAAACTTATAATAAAATGTACTTATATTTATACAAGAATGTACTTTTATTTTTTCTCATATCATTCTCCCTTGTGTTAATTTAATTAATCTTTCGATTCAGGTCTAAAATATTCGCAATTACGGCGCTGATTCTCAAGACTGTGATATTCCTTCTCCTAGTATCTCGAGTGCTAAATAAAGGCAATCTATCTAAACTTTACGATTCCCGAGAATTATTTGCATGAGAATCGGACACCATTCTTATATTGAGTTTAGTTGAGCGCGGAGGTCGCTCTGTGGTAACAGGCTTAGTGGAAATATAGAAAATATTCAGAATGATTTTATATATTATTCTCTGTCTTTGTGTTTTATTGTACCTGTACGGTACGAGGACGTTCAACTATTGGAAGAAAAAAGGTATTAAAAACGATCCGCCACTCCCGTTTCTGGGAAATAATTTCAAACAGTATATGCAAAAATCTAGCATTGCAATGACAGCTGAAGAGGTATACCTAAAGTATCCCGACGAAAAAGTTGTCGGTTTCTTTAGAGGAAGTCAGCCGGAGTTAGTTATACGGGATCCCGAATTTATGAAGAGAATACTTGTCACTCATTTCCACAACTTCCACGGCAGAGGCTTATTACCGAATCCAACATTTGTAGAGCCCCTGTTGAAAAATTTATTTTTTGCTGATGGCGATATATGGAAATTGTTAAGGCAGCGCTTTTCATTGGCGTTCAGTACTGGCAAAGTCAAAGCTATGTTCTCTTTTATCACTGAGAGAGCAGAGAAATTACAAATGCTTACTGAAGAGGTAGCCCAGCTTGAATCGTACGATGCACGAGAACTAATGGCTAGGTACACGACTGATTTCATTGGAGCCTGTGGCTTTGGCATTGACATGGATACGTTAAATGACGAAAAATCTATATTTAGGCAGATAGGCCAACGAATCTTCAAACGAACACCATATGACGCAATAAGAGCAGTATTAAAGTATACTTTTCCGGATCTGTGCAAGAATATAACATTGTTAACACCGGAATTGGAAACATCTATGAATTATTTGGTAAATTCTGTGTTACAACAAAGAAATAATGAGTCCACGGGACGTAATGATTTCATCGATTTAATGATTGAATTGAGGAAGCAGGGCAAAATCGTTACAGAGTCAATGACTGAGCGAAACGCAGACGGAACCCCCAAAATGATAGAATTGGATTTTAGCAATCCACTGCTGGTGTCGCAGGTATTTTTATTCTTCGGTGCTGGATTTGAAACATCGTCAACTGCCTCCAGTCACACTTTACATCAGCTAGCATATAATAAGAAATACCAGAGAAAAGTTCAAGAAGAATTAGACGGTATATTGAAGAAATATGACAATAAAATAACATACGACGCAGTCATTGAAATGAATTACTTAGAAAAGGCGTTTTACGAATCGCTAAGAATGTATCCACCTGTAGCATATTTAATTAGGCAGTGTTCTTCGAAATACACGTTTCCTGAGATTGATTTGACCATCGACGAGGGTGTCCGAGTTGTGATGCCAATAAAGGCAATGTTTAATGATGAGAAGTATTTCAAAAATGCTCACTTATATAATCCTGATAGATTTGCGACACTTAAGGATATGAAGAATAATCTTTTTATACCATTTGGAGATGGACCACGAACATGTGTTGGTAAGTTTTCAACTAAAAGACTTTAAATTTTTGTAAAACTGATAATTTGATGATATTGTTATGTGATCCGTGTTTAATAAATCCAATTTTAAAACTATCGATAAAGCGTGCATTTGTAATGACTAATTACTATTTGTCACGCACGCAAGCAATCGATAAAAATATACTTTTATTAAATTTGCACCAAATACCGTCTGTAGTTTACGCGAGTTGTACACATTTTAATAAAACACTCTAACAGTTTAAAACGTGATATATATTAGTTGAACTTGTTTAAAAAATATTTTAACTACGTGTTACTACTATACTATACTTCTCGTAGTTAAAATAATTTTCAAATAAAGTTAACTAATAAATTTGCGTTTTAAACCGTTAAAGTGTTTTATTTAAGTAATATATTGGAAATATTTTCTTTTATTACAGCGGCACGTTTGGGTCTCATGCAATCGTTGGCTGGTCTAGCGGCGGTTTTACACAAATTTGACGTTGAGCCCTCGAGTAAAAGTATATTCCGACCGACACCGGATCCAACTGGTACTGTTTCTGAAAATTTCGTTGATGGGCTACCTCTGAAATTCACGAAACGCAAACAATCCACATGATGTTCTTTATTAAATACTGTCTATAGTTTAAATGAGTTAAAATTTATTTGAAAATGATTTTCGACTTCGGCCCGACGTTTCGGATGCTTTACAGCAGCCGTGGTCACGGGGTGACTCAACGTATCCGAAACGTCGAGCCGAAGTTAAAAATCATTTTCGAATAAGTTTAACTAATATATCGCGTTTTAAACCGTTAAAGTATTTTGTTTAAATGTTCTTTATTGTTACGAAAATTACTTAACTGAATATATATATAAAGCTGAAGAGTTTGTTTGTTTGTATGTTTGAACGCGCTAATCACAGGTTGGAATCGAAAAGTTGCGTTTTGTGTTGGTTTGATAATTTATCGAGGAAGGTTATAGGCCAGGTTATAGGTTATAACCATCACACTGGGACTAATAGGAGCGAAGGAACAGCGGGAAAAATTCATTATCTATGTAGGTTTTTGTAGGGCACGCTGCGAAGACGGTTCCAGATACCCAAAAAGTATGTAAGAACAATGATTTCTCTTTTAACGAGCTAAAAAAAGGCCACGATACAATATGTCTATCTTTTAAGATTAATTTGCAAGAACTTTATACTTATAAACATGGAAAGGAGGTTAGCAAAAACAAATTTGGACGCCCAAAATTACCACTTTCCGCAATTCAGCTAAACTTTTTGGGTTTTTAGTGAGAATGTTTTTTCGATGTTCACCTCAGACACTTCAAAAATCTAAAACGTGTCCGCGTTTACAATTTAAATTCGCTAGTTGCAAGGACAGATGCACTGACATTCATATAATGATTATCTTTTATTGTCTATTGTGTAGCTAAAATTAGTTAAATTTAAATAAATTCTTAAATAATAAATACATACCATTGTGACATCCAAAATGTTTACACCGGGGTCACCTTTATCGCCCTTTGGTCCTATTGGGCCCGGATTACCAGGTGGTCCAAAGGAACCGGGACGACCCTATAAGAACAAGATATGAATAATATAAAAGGTTTTTACTATATAAGTACATAATAAATTAATCTATCTATAGGACAATAAAGCAGAAAAAGTGTATCTTCATTATTATTAAACAAATATAACAATCTAACATGGACGACAAAAAGCCTAAACATATATATAACCTGGCGGAGAATAAAACACTTTTAACGGTTTAAACATATATATTGGTTAATTTTTTTACAAACTATTTCAACTACGGCCTGACGTTTCGGATGCTTTGCAGCAGCCGTGGTAGCAGCAAACAATCGTTTAAACCTTAGCGGTGTTTTATTTAAATCTGTACTAATTGTGTTAGCTGCCGATAGTATTTAAAAACTTATTTTTCTATATCCAACTAACAGTTGTTTAAAAAAAATTACGAGTGAAAGATAGTTATAGTATAACGTGTAAATAAAACACTTCCGACGGTTTAAAGGGCGAAATATATTTGTTAAGTTATGGGTCTATTAAAGTTGTTTTATTTAAAGAGTACGTTCTGGCTCAGCTATAGAACATATTAAGTAACTATTAATAATTTCACAATCGTAATTATTATAAATCTAATCATCTATAAACTAATGTAGCAAAAAATATTAATAAATGCGCAAACATATAATTTCTAATACAATTAAAATAGTTTATATAAAAACATACCTTATTGTTCTAAGCGGCAAGAAAAATAATTTCTTTTAATATTACGTACATCTTTACTAATATTATAAAGCTGTAGAGTTTCTTTGTTTGTTTAAACGCGCTAATCTCAGGAACTACTTGATCGAAGTGATAATTGTTTTTGTGTTGGATAAACCAATTCATCAAGGAAGGCTATGAAACATCAATAGGAGCGAAGGAAGAGAGAGAAATAGAGAGTTTCCGTTGCGTGAGCAGCGAAAACGGTTCAAGAAACCAAATAATATGTATAACAGGATGATTCTTTTTTGAATGATCTAAAAAATATCCGCGACAAGATGTGTCTATCTTTAAGATTAACTTGCAAGAACGACGGGACGCGGATGACTTTATTTCGGTCGGAGCATTATTTCGTTCCATAAAGTATTACTTCTGCAGAATATTTTTATCTATCTGTAAATAAAGAAGTACAATGTTTCATTTTTCTTACCATCCATCCTGGGAGACCAATGTCTCCTTTTTCCCCCGGCTTTCCCGGAGGGCCAGGTACACCCGGTGTACCTTGCAGACCACGAGGCCCTTGGGGTCCACTGCGACCCCTTCTCCCCCTTGGTCCTAAATCTCCTTTTTCACCCTTTGGAAAAAGCATTTGTGAGTTACCAAAAGGTCTTTGGTTGGGGTTACTAAATAATATTTTAAATTTAGAGCCTTTAACTAAATAGATAACTACTTATACACTTATACACCGCTGACATAGATTTTGAAACAGAGAATTTTTACTAATACATATGTAAAAAATATTAATTTATTAATTGAATTAAAATTGTTTGTCTCATTTTAAAACTATCATAAGTACCTTTACAGTTATGACATCAGACCCAGGTGCGGTTAGAGCTACGGGTCCAGGGGGTCCCCTCTCGCCCCTTTCGCCTTTCAATCCTGGTGAACCGGGAGGACCTGATATCCCGGGCATTCCAGATGGGCCAATATCCCCGCGTTCTCCGGGCTTTCCATCTTTGCCAGGAAAACCTGGAGTGCCATCGAGCCCGGGATTACCATTTTCACCCTGTATTTATTAAAATGAAACTGATGTAAAACAAAATCTGATAACATTATACTGATTTCTGATAAGTATATATACATTAGTCAGCTCTAGTCAGTCAGACTCGGTAGCTCAATTGGTATAGCAACAGCACGGAAAGCTGACGACGCCGGTTCAAGTCCTGCCCGAGTCGAAAATTTTTTCAATTTATTTTCGTATTTTAAATTATATAGTGCCTTCATGTGCAATAACATGTGAAAAATATTAATGTTTTCAAAAGTATATTCATTTGGTATTTCTTATCTTTATTAACAATAGAAAATAATAAACTGCTTACCTTCTCTCCTTTTTCTCCTTGGGTCCCAGGGATAACTCGACCTAAAAAATAAATGGTTTAATCCATTCTTGCTTATAATATCTTTAATTATTTATTATATCTTAAGCTACTGATGGAATCATGGAGTAACTTAGATAAAATAGTCCTTGATCTTTCATTAACATTGGAATAATGTTTATGAAATATATTAATTATAAGGAAAATATTGATTTCTACATAGTCAAGGTTTGTGTATTTACCCGAAGTAATAAATTCAGAATCTTCAGTTGTAAAACTTCCAAAGGGGTAAGATGGTTGTCCCGGGGGACCGGGCGAACCACGTTCTCCTAGAAAATATCATTTTGGATAAAAAGGTTTTATTACAATTAAGTTTAATCTTTCCGAATTTATCTTAAACAACTTATAAATGTTATAACAAGACCACAAATATGGATTGAGCAATAGCGACCTTTTACCTTTTTCCCCTTTTTCTCCAAAACGACCATTTGCTCCTGGAAGACCTGGACGACCGTCTAAACCTGGACCGCCACGATCACCTTTCATTCCTCTGTCACCTTTTGGTCCGGAATAACCCTATACAGCAAGAAAAACCACTTAATCCTGCTAATGCAGATATAATTTGTGTCATTTTGCCCAGTAGATCTGAAGATGCCATTTCACTTAGATAGAAACAGATTTTATGGTTCATATTATGCATAAAACTATAGAAGTATTATTTAAGCAAAGTAAAAAATCTTACTCGATCACCCTTCGTCCCAGTTTGCCCTGGCATGCCTCGTTCACCCTTCGACCCGGGGAAACCCCGCTCTCCTTGCAGACCTACAGGGCCAGGTTGTCCTGTATCCCCCTTAGGACCTGGAGCTCCAGGTCTACCGATAGCACCACCACCATATGAACCCAAGAGAGATTCCTAAAACACCACGTAAACAATATAATGCTATGGTATATCACTTATTGAGAGCTGGATCTTATACACATTTGTTATATCTAAATATATAATTTTGTAATCTTTTTTACCTTATTGTACACTGCGATTCTGAGATGCAGTATTAATAATCAGTCGAAAGCAACGATGTTTCTGATTAATTAAAGTTTAACAATTAAATTATCCCGCTTTCATAATTTCTCTGATACACTTCAAAGAGCGCACGACTGCTGTTCTCAACAAAGTCTGACCACAAACAACGAAAATCAATTTCCTTATCTTTGTCACCTCGATATATATCTACCCTCAAAGTGGAAAGTTGCTGTGTAAACTTTGTCTTCGCAGTTTTGTTTACGGAAGGCAAACTTTCCTTTAATCATTCTCCTAACTTAAACTTGGAGACACTTAATGAAAAGGTAATCGACAGGCCTAATTTTATTCCATAACTTATCATTTACTTGGATGTTCTTGTTTGTTTTATTCGATTAAATTGTTGTCATGATAAGAGGTTGAGTTTACAATGAATTGCATTGAAGTTGAATTGAATGATACACATTAATATGTATCTATTAAACAATTTTTAAGTCCCTTATGTAAATATTTAGAATAGTTAAAATGTCATCTTGTTGAACAATATTCTCACAGGGTCAAACTTACGACCACCGTTTTGTGTACTTTATTATAATAAATAATTGAGGCTTTAACATTTTTTTAATATTGCTTTTTACCTACTTCCAACGGTAACTTTGTTTTAAGGGCCGAACATAATTGCACGTCTAGTACAAGAGTAACATCACCTACATTCGGGACGACTAAATTGGTTTCGTATACGATAATATACTCTTGAAACGAAAGCTCGTGAAATCTTGTTTCCGGTCTAATAAAAGCTTGTAGCGAAAGCAGGCTCCATCCATATTTAACGTTACTCTAGCGACTTACCTTGTATATTTGCCTAGGTTTCCAATTTGACTAAACAAGCAGCAATGGATGGCATGAAAATGTTAAAATAAGATCAGCATAATCAATTTGAAATGTACATTTCAAAGCTAATTTTGCAAGAAAAAAGTATTGCAAGTCTAATTTCGAGAAGCTAACAGCTTAACTAAGCAGAGTAACGTGAATTCAGAGTTTCAAAGGTAAAAATTATTCTCTCTATCACTACTTATTACTTATATGTCACTGACATATTTCGATAATAGAAGATTTTAAAACTGTGTAGTTTGAAATATGTAGATTATTTTTTTATCTTACTGTCATGCTTTTCTCTTTAAGATTAGAAAGAGACTAAATGATTAGACTGTTTTAAAATGTTATTTAAAAGGAGTGAGACAGTTTCGGCCTAAAGTTTCTTAGTTTATTGTTACTTAACCAGGAAATATTTTTTTAATTGTATCCTTCCTCTTTTTACCTTAATTAGTGTGTTACCTCAAAGTTGCTATAATCTGCAGAACCCGGGGAACCAGGTGGTCCCGGTGGTCCAGGGTTTCCAGCTCTCCCATCTACTCCTGGCTCCCCTTTTTGTCCCGTTAGGCCTTCTGGGCCGCGAGGACCATCGTCACCCCGGTCTCCTTTTTCTCCTCGCGGTCCCATAGGTCCACGATCACCTGTTGGTCCAATTTGGCCCTAGAATGATACACCAATTAATGTTTTGACACCAATTTACAGTAAGTATAACATAACAAAATCACAAATTAAAGTGTTACTACTAAAAATAGACTTTGTCATGTTTGACAAGACCAGAAATTTTCTCTTTTATTTTCAACAACGGCTATCTGAATGGTCTGTTGTAAGACAACGTGACTAGCTAGACTAGCTAGTGCTTAGTGTTAAAAAAAATTACTTACGGGTATACCAGGCGGTCCAGTTCTTCCATCAGCCCCAACCAAACCTGGAGGTCCAGGAGGACCTTGTAGCTGTGGAGCTAACTCCAAAAGAGCTAACAGTGTGCTGGTGTTGCAACCGCATTGTCCCAGAGATGCGTAGTTCTCACCAAAGATTTGCTGCAATCATTTTTTTAGCTTTTTAAGTAGGAGCTTTGCAAAAGACTGTAAAATAAATCTAAAAATGAATCTCAAACATACCTTTACACTTATTGCCTATTATATAGCATGTAACAGAGAAATGATTGAGTAAATGTAGAATCACGAACTATATAATAAATGTTTTTTTTTTTAAGTTATATAATATGGCATTTTACATGTGAAGCTGGTAAATGTATTCGGAATAATGCAGCCATTCAGAATATTATTCTCAGAATAATTCTATAAGTCAACTGCTGTTAGTGTGAACATTGCAATGATATTAGGTAGAGAAAATATTTAAAAAGCTTTTGGTTTGTAAGACAAAGATAGCCACAGAGTAGCTGAATTAATACGAGTAGAGAAATGAACGCAGGGTACGATTTTTTGTCTATCGTGGATTTAAGTTGATGTTAAAAATGTCTTCAAAATAATTGCTAAATTAAAAAAAAAGATTTAGATTTTTTTTTTATAGGATTATTTAACACAGATTATTTGTTATTATCCAAGTATTCAAACGATACTATGCATATGAATAGTACTTACATCGTCTCCAGAACCTGACGGGTCGCTTATCGCTGTTCCCGGTATACCAGGGAGTCCAGGAGGCCCAGGAGGACCTGGTGGACCACGTATCGATTCTCCTGGGGGACCCTGTAATATTTTTTTTTTAAATTAATTTAGATGATTAATTGACGAGTTTGGTTAACAAATGTAATTTTATGATACGGTCTCTGAGATAACATATTTTATTTATTATATCTTTATTATGTATAATGCACACCACAAAAAATACATAATAATACAATTTACAACTTTATTTTACAAAAAATAGAGAATATTTTAGTAATAGTACAGTTGTGTATAGCATAAACATAATGTATAGTCGCTGGTATTTATTAAGCGTACATCAACAAACCAATGTGGGTAGGTGTTTGGTTATAGGTTATGGCGCTAAATCACGTTGTAATCCTGTATTTATATCCTACGACACGATTACTAACAGAATTACGTTAGAATTAGGGTTGATTTCAGTAATGGTCTCATTAGTTATGGAATTTCAAGTGTTTTGAACACGAATTTACCGATACATATGCCTATATACGTATCAACAGTACATATATACAGTAATATATCATAATATAAATAGAACGTGTTTGGATAGATAAAAACGGAACTAAGAATATGTTGTTTTCCATCAAAAGAGATTAAGTAACTCTACAATACTGTTTTTATTACAATCAAAACAAAAGTGACCCGCAACTCAATAGTGTCTTAACTACGTCATTAGTAGTAAGTACTACGTAGCTTTTCTTTTATAGACGTACAATATACTAATAGTGCACTATTTTTAATAAATGTAATTCAAATAATCTTGCCCTTGTTCCTCTCTCTCCTTTTTCACCTCTTAATATTGGTGCGTAACCTGGAAAGAAATAACGAATTATATACAACGAATTTTCTAACTACCCACATTATAACGGCGTGAAAAATTAAAATATCGATATGCTAATATAAAATGATTTCGCGTGTGAAACTCAAAGCTTCTTAGACTAACATTATATTTCCTAAGGGGAACTTGGAGTTCATAAGTCACCAGCAGTAATTACGTATCGTTTAAAACAAACAGTCGTTAATCCTAGCAAACATGGTTACCGCACGAATCCGCACCCTCGTGTTCCGTTGGAGATAAATAATATGATTCGCAAAGCTCGTCATTACACAGTGTCGAGTAAATACTACATTGTAACCGATTTATAATATTTATATGCGAACTACAATAAAATAAAATATGGTCTTTAAAATGGCTTATCAGCAGAAATCAAAATTAAAAATCGATTATTAAGAAACGGGCAGGATTTGAACCGGCATCCACAGAGTTCCGTGCTGTGACCTAACCAATTGAGCTAACGTGTTCTAAAATCCAATTGCCGATATAAGTTCTACTCGCGCCGTATATTGTTTTTAATTTATAATCGACTTTTATTTTATTTAGTAGCACCAAGGGCAATAAATTGCTTATACCTTCTGCCTGTCAAAAAGTGCTTATCTAATAATTTGAGAGGTAAGGTCATTTGAATAACAAACTCGCAAACGTTGTAATTGTGCCCATGTAAAAAAAAATTCAGGAGCTCGAAATCTAGCTAACAGTGAAAACCCGTTTCGCGACGTTCTTTTAAGCAGTTGGATAAAACTCATATTTTTACATGTACATACCTTGTTTTGTATGTAATTAAGAAACCACAGATTAATTGGCCTTCCATATTTTTTATCGTTTGACTTTAATAATGTCAATTGTCAGTTGTCATTGATAACTTTGTCACAGAACACACACGGAATTTTGGAATGCTTTAAATACATTTTATCGCTTATCTTCGTAGTAAAGGACGTTGGCGTCGGTGTCAAAGAGGATAAGTAATAAATGTGAACACTCAAATTATATCCGTACTTATCGTTTTTAACTTTCAAGTAGTATACTTTAAGATGATAATGATAATTACTTTCAAAAGAAGTTCTTTGATTTACTTTTATCATAGGAGTTGGACATTAAAAATATAACTATTAAATAACAACTAATAATGTCTTTTCAAAGATAGGACAAAATTTAAAAAAATCCTTTCTTCTGGGTCTTCCTAAATTAAACATTTTTCGTAACATAATATAAGAAACGAAATTTAAAACTAAGCTGTCTTAAATTAGACTGATCGATAAATGTAAATTGAGTAACGTATGTTATGTCTTACGTTTAGTTAGGATAGAATAACATGTTAGGACAGCTAACATCACTACGAGCAATAAAAATCTATATACTGTTTAAAAACTTCAATATTTTTCAGAAAAATTGATTACGAGTAGTACCTACACATTTAAATAAAACACTTTAACGGTTTAAAACGCGATACATTAGTTGAACTTATTTGAAAATGATTTTTAACTTCGGCCCGACGTTTCGGATGCTTTGCAGCAGCCGTGGTCACTGTAAACGCCTGCATCTTGTAAAGAGATAGTACACTTGTTTGGTGTACTATCCCTTTACTATTCGCTTTGGCCAGCCAAAAATCCTCGCAAAAGAGAGTCGATTTTTTCCAAGATTGGTACGCGAAGCAATTGAAATCAAAAACACCGAAATTTCAATATGGAGGACGGCCTCAAATAATCAAACACCTGGGATCCCATATTAAAAACTCTGGATCCCAATAACCAGCATACCGGCAAACGCGAAGACACCGTTATTCAATTCTGTAAGGATACCGCCAGTTTCGCCAAATACCAACTTCGACGGAACAGATGGCGCTAGCGTAGCAATTTTTTACTTTGACGTCAGAGAAATCCTCCATATTTAGTCTCCCCGTGACCACGGCTGCTGCAAAGCATCCGAAACGTCGGGCCGAAGTTAAAAATCATTTTCAAATAAGTTTAACTAATATATCGCGTTTTAAACCGTTAAAGGGTTGTATTTAAAAATCGATTATACGCGAGAGGTGCAAGTATCGATTGAAAAAATTCGACCATGACGTGTAGGACACGGTTGCTCTATTGGTTAGAGCAATAGTACGGAACGTTGTGAGCGCCGCCGATTAAAGTCCTGCCCCTGTCGTACTTTTAAAAATCTAAAATCGATTTTAGTCTATAAAGTATAAACTGTCCAAATATGGAAAAATTAAGGTGCGCTCCGGTCATTTATTAAACAAGCTCATTTACCGTTTAGTCCAGGCGGGGGAGGCGGAAATGGCGGAATGGTTCCGTACCTCCCCGACCCCTCCACGTCCCCCTCTTCTTGGTCCACCTGTGAAACAATTAATTACATAGAATGCATGTTTAAATACATCTGTGCCATAATTAAGCGGCTTACTCAGTCCGTTTGTCTTTCGAAGTGTTAGCTTAGCGTTTTTGCGAGGTTACAACACAAAATGGCGGTCTGCTATTTGCTATTACTTATCTGTGGCGTATTATCTGTGGACCTGCGGGTTAGAATTCGAGATTGCATTTGATGAAACTTGAGGGACGTTATTTTTCTTAATGCTGATGTTTTTTCTATACTAATAATATAAAACTGAAGAGTTTGTTTGTTATAACGCAGTAATCTCAGGAAATACACATTTGAATTGCTGCGTAACCGTATGTTGAATATACCAAAAAAAATAGTAAAATATGTTTTTAAACAATATAAAAAATTTGAGTATCTTCTAACATTAACTCACAAGAACTTTTTTACTGTAATCAAATGGCTACTTCGATCAAGTTTGCTAAGTCAGTTACACAAAGTATATTTTGATTAAATAAACGTATAAGGTGGATAGCTAACACGTGTAGGCGAGAATTTAGTTGAAAAAGGTACAAATCAAGCCTCGATAAATCATGGCGCCTAACGATAATCAAACAAGCGTTGACGACCAAATGAACTAACATTTCAATGCGGTTGAACTTGTATAGCGGTTATATTAATAAGCGGTACGGCAGAGCGATTTCCAGCACCACATTGAAAATGGAAAAAGAACTATTATTAGAAAATTTTGTTACTTATTATTCTAATATATATTTAGCAACAAGCTCAGATATTTAGCTTCATAATTAAGTCATCTTCTTTTTAATGATAGAAGATGTTAGATAAGCGTGGGGCTCACTTGATGGAAGGTAAAATAACCCAGCCATATAACATCTACACAAATGCGCCGTCGACCTATTTTGGCTTTGGATATACAAGGACAGCTAAAGTATTTTTAAATCTCACTCTGTTTAAATCTTCTTCTAAGGAATATTCGAAAATTTTACTTTATACTTTATTAAAATTCTCTTTTTTTTTTTTGATAGAGGAGACCAATAACATCTTAAGATGCACCGTCAATCTATTCTGGATTTGTTATTTGACAATTGCTGACATCTGTAGAGAGTGTTATATGGGAATTCTTAAATACTGTCTGTAGTTTACGCGAGTAGTACACATTTAAATAAAACACTTTAACGGTATCCGTGGCTAACGAGGAGACTCCCCGTGACCACGGCTGCTGAAAAGCATCCGAAACGTCGGGCCGAAGTTAAAAATCATTTTCAAATAAGTTTAACTAATATATCGCGTTTTAAACCGTTATGGCGTTTTATTTAAATGGTAATTCTTATTATGGGGATAGGAATTATTATAGGGATTCGAAGCAACGACCACTTATTTAAAAACCAAACATTGTAACAACTAGAACGATGAACGTCCTCCATTGATATTTGTTTGATTGGATCAAATAATAATATGTATTGATCTTTTCTAACATGATCTAAGCTTTAGTGAATGCCCAGCGGTACGTTTGTTATAGCGAGTTATTTGTTTACATTTTCGCGTAAAGTAAATATCGTTCGGCGCCGCAATTATGTAGCGGTTCGTGAATATTGATTCGCAAATATATTTTTTTGTATATTTAGGTTGCTGGTCTTATCAATTACGATTACCTGGAATAGGTGTGACAGCTGTAGAGGTTCGCGATAGTACTTAGAAGGGTGAGATAACGGTCTGGCAGAAAATGTTTCTGCAATAAACGCTTCGAATTTATAGGTAATAATAAAAAAATCTAGATTGTAGATTTCGGTTAGTACTGTATTGTCTATAGCTTCTCAAGGTTTATAAAGAATAACTCAAAATTTAAATTTGAATTTCAATAAATTCGCTACAAATATTGATTAATAAGATTAAAATCACATAACGATTCATTTGTTTAATTTTACCCTTTAAGACTTAAATGGTAGCACAGTATGGAAATCTGGATATTACATGGGTGGTAGGAATATTGAAATTCGAACACGAACCAGCAGTCACAGAAGAAAAAGCCGTCAAGTTTAATCTCGTTTCGCTTTCAGTCTGTGGATTTCCGAATATCCAAAGCCAAAATAGGCTGACAGCGTATCTAGTGATAGATAGATAGATGATATATCACTAAAGTATATCTAGTATTTGTATCTTAAAAACAGACATTTTAGTGTTAATAACAATAATTAAATAAAAGACTTTAACGGTTTAAAACGCGATATATTAGTAACACTTATTTAAAAATGATTTTTAACTTCTTTTGACTCTGAATCCCAATGAACAGTATACCAGCAAACGCGAAGCCACCCTTAGTCAATTATGTAAGGACCCGGCCAGTTTCGCCAAATACCAACTTCGACGGAACAGTCTCCCCGTGACCATGGCTGCTGCAAAGCATCCGAAACGTCGGGCCGAAGATAAAACTCATTTTTAAATAAGTTTAACTAATATATCGCGTTTTAAACCGTTATGGTGTTTTATTTAAATGTGTACTACTCGCGTAAACTATAGACAGTATTTAATAATAATTAAATTATTTGTTTAGTCCTCTATTAATAAATAATTTTGTATAATTGACACGAACAGGGTTCGAAGTGATGACCACGTTTGTATTACAAGTAACAGTGTATGAGGTCAATGACTTGAATTCAAGACTCATGAGGCTTATCTTAAGAATGAAGTTTATCTGGAGCGATCTAGCTCCTTCAAATGTCTTTATTGTTATTAAATGAATGTCTCGTTTTGAGTTATCTTTTGCCATGTAATGGACAAATTTTATGACATTTTCATTATATGATTGAGAGACAAGCAAAAGGACTACTTCGTGTAAGATTAAATGTGTAAACTACAATACATGTATAATATATTTAAAGGTCACGTTGGTCAAATGGTAGTAATGTATGTCTAATAATCAACGGGTAGAGCCTTCAATATCTTTCTAAGCAAATTATAGGGTAGGAGGAACAACAAAACACCGTCCGGGTCACGAACCGCCGTACATGGATAAAAAGCCAGGTTAATCGCGTTTTGGTTTCTGAATATGCAAAGCCAAAATTGGTCGATAGGGTAAGGTATGTTATTTTGCATCAAATAGACACCATGTTAGTCTGTCCTTTTTATCATTAAACAAGAATCATCCAATATTACTACTATTAAATACATTGATATTTATAGATCGAATCAAAAAGTACTTATAACATCGGTTAGATTAACGAAAAATAAATCTGAAATTGATTGTCATATACAGGAATCGAACTTCAAACCGCTTACCACAAGACTATTACAAGATTTAGTAAAGTAGTATGTTAGTTACCAAATGTAGCTGATGTCTAGACTTCAGTAATTAGTAATATTTAAGCTACAGCGTGTTAGTTGTGTTATTCCATGTCTAATTATGGAGATAATGTGTGCTACAGACGTACACATTAGTGCAAAACATATTAGTATGTTACATAAATCATTGTTACAAGTAAGTACTGATATTATTCTTAGTCATAAACTTGTTTAAATATAAAGAATTTGAAGTTACACTTGTAACTAACAAGTGAAACTTCAAAACAGCTTGAAAACCCAAAAAGATTGGAAATAGTTTTGTAGAATAATATTAGTGTTAAACGAAAAAATAACAAAATAATAATCACCAAAGAATTGTCAATATAGATCTCGTCTCCTCCACTCCCTTTTCCTATTTCCTGTCGGAAACATTACGTTTAGGTAAAAATAAAACAAAGGAGACAAAAAATGAGATATTTCTGATATTATGCAGCTTAATGCTTATAATTAAACAGGAAAAATATACAATTAGGACTTACCTCAAATGTATTAACACACTGTACTTCAGCTTGAGAAGGCGATCCGAACAGCTTGAGTTCTTGAAAAGCACCCTGTATAACCACGACCGTTAAGAATCGGGGCCAAATAAGTCCCATTTTGGCTGACAAGATATCGCAATTAAAAACGCTAAATATCGTTTTGTATAGTTATTTTGTTTTATATAGGATTCTTTTCTTAAATTGAGGTACGTTTAGTGTTTTAACAACAACAATTCTGTAGTCAATAAGTAAAACATCCGCTGTTAACGCATGCGCACTTGTGTCAGTCAACGCGTGCGCTGCGCTACAGTCTACACTAAATTTGAAGTTAACCAAGCCGAAGAATCGCTACAGAACTTTGTTTACAACCAGATTACCTCGGTACGTGAAAATCCCGTAAAAGCACGTTGTCTCAATGGCATTGAAAGGTCAACTAAAGCTGGTCGACTGTTTCTTCGGAACGATCGCTGTCATAAATTGGAATTAATACCTTTTGTACATTGGTAATGCGATTTTGTTACATTTGCTTTTAGTAATTTCATTTTTAATTATTCGTCGATTTATATGGGACATAAATATGTTATTGCTAGTTTCTATTTGCAAATGATATAGAGTTAGCACACAGATGTTCAAAATATATTTTCTTAAAAATACTAGATAGGTTTTAAAAATGAAAATTTGTTGCACAGTACCAGCTATGTGTCCAATTTACGTACGTTACGTATTTTAAGTACGATGTCAGACAAATATGAATAAAATTCTTTGTATATTTTGATACAAATAAAAAAAAATATGGGTTTAACTTATTTTAAGTTTATTCAAGCTATGACTTAACGTTCCATGTTGTATTAAATTAATGTTTTAATAAAACATGGAACACACAACTTACGATTAAAGTTATTTGAAACAAAAATATTACTAATATTGATGGTACGATCAGTTTGACAAAATATTCAACTAATCATAGCGCGTATAAAGTTGTACCTAGCTTAAACAAAATTTTTCGATTCCAGATTTTAATTAAAAAATACATCAGGTTTGTACACATACCATTTCGTGAGACCAACGCCAGAGAGTAAATAATATTCTGCGGTTGGATGTGGGGTACGGTAGGACAAAACGTTTTAAGTTTTAACGAGTTCGGTGCCATATACACGAATCTATTTCGGTGAAACATGATTGAATTTTGTGGGATTATTTCAGAATGTGTCACATCACAAAATGAATACTACTCTTGTATTCCAACTTCACAAATTGGTGACTCTTTGAAGCATCTGCGAAGCTGTGAAACTTCTTATTTCGTAGAATATGGTTAGCTTCTTGCTTTCGTGTCTTCCCGATAACTACGTCCTCTTCGACGAAGTCCTTGACTAAAGGTATTTGCAGTGATAGTGTAGTTTGTTATTACCTTCTACTAAGATTTGTTTAAAAACCAAAGGGAAATGACTGAGATGTACAGCAATATATACTAAGTTAAAAGCTTATACAAATCTTATTTTCACGAATCCTATAGAGCTATGTAAATCTTTATAAGCATATAGTTTAAAATAGAAAATGTATAATGCACATGTAATCTGTTTATGCAAGTAGTACACATTGAAACAAAATACTTTTGACGCTTCAGAACAGGAAATATAATAGTTAGCTTGTGTTAACTACCGGTCGGATGTTTCGAATGTGTCTAATGCTAAGGTTAAATCTGCTAGATGGCGCTAGCATATATTTTGCTGCTTTAAAAAGTGTTTTATTTATAAATTACATTTTTTATTCAATATCTGCATATGTCATTTTTTCATACAATCAAAATAATCAGATACTAAACAAATGATATTGTCATATTGCATCTACATAGTTAATAGAGTAGTAGAGTGCTACAAATGTTACCTACAAAAAATAAGTACCAAAACGCGAACAAATTATAAAGCTAAGTTGGGACTGCAAGATTAAGAGCCACCATCTATTCCGGGCCATTTCAGAAAACATACGAATGCCATTAATTTTATAGGTCACAAGATTTTCTTCAGCGCACCATCACGTAACCAACAACCAGTGGAACATGACCTCCCATTTTATACCTCGAGTAATTCTCTCTGTGCGCATTTAAAGCAACATTTTATATGAGGGGTCTCTGTAAATTAGATACGTTATAATATGTATTAAGGGTGGTCAATCTTCAACGAGAGTTATCGTTTAGCCAAAGAGCGATTTTTATTTGAGTTTGATTGTGGCCATAATTCTAGCCGGGTCATTAAGTTTTGTATGCGGGGGTTTTCTACCAAATGCGTACGGCCGCAATTGTTTAATAATTTACTGTTTTAAATAACCAATTAAAAGTATGGAACATATTTTTCAAAGTGAGGCAGGGTCAGACATATTTCTGTGTCTAGTTTACTGATAAATTTTTGTGTATTATCAGCCATTGAGGCGGACTGTTGAAAGAAAAGTACTTATTAAATATATGTGCGTAGACATTCGTTATTATCTCAGAGACCGTATGTATATGATTATTACTATCTATTTAAAAAAAAGTTCATAAATTTACTATGTATAAGTCAAAATCAACGGATTGGAAGCCAAATGTTTATTTATATATATTTTATATGAATTCTAATAGATCGACATACTTACAACTTCAGCGATTTGTGGTGCTGGCTTTGATTGGCTGTACATCTCTGCTGTTCCCGCAGACTGCATCGTCGGTGTATTAATAAAAGTGACAGATGACAGAACAGCAAGAATAATACCCACTACCACTAACAGGAACAAGGAACACATACACATTTTTGTTTGTGTGGTTATCACCATCGCCATTTTAAGTTATTGTCCATGTAATCGGCTTTTAGTAAATAACTAATAACTTATATGAGGTCGCTAGAGCCGGAGTAGCCTTACTGCAATTTTATGACGTGAATATATATTTCTTTTTAATTGTATAATTATAAAGACATATATACCAATAGTATAAAAGCGTATATAAAAAAAATAATGACGTTTTAAATTATGTTTGTTAAAATTAAAAGTTTAAGTTTCGAAGTAACAATTTTCGTGTATATATAAAATTTAAAATTAAACGCCTGGTAAAAGATTAATGGCAAATATCTTACGCATTGATTTGAACACAAGACCTATTTTATTACGTGTTACCTGTGCCCGCGACTTCGTCCGCATGGAATAGTCTGGGTAGAATTTTTTAGTTATTTAGGCTATTTATTTATTTTATAAATTTGATAAAACATATGTGTAAATACAGTGTTACAGTGTTTTAGAGTTACTTTCGCATTTATAATATTAGTGAGTTCTTTAAAAATTAATTATGATACATTTAATCAACAACCCTTTAGAACCTTTTTTTCGTACTGCAAAAGGTTTTACAATGAATGTCATCAAAAGGGCGCAATCAAGGCAGCCAATCTTTGTTGTAAGTGCTACTTTGCCGCAAACCTTCCCACTCTCACCGCACATCAGTCCTACTCTCACTCCTACACTCTTACTCTCATTTCCAAAAAGCCAAAGAAGAAAATTTCTATCTAATTGTTCTAGCTTCAAAATACACGAATTTCCACCTATCATCTCCCTTTTTAATCCTTATTTTGGCATTAAAAAGTAACTAGTTTCGGCATTAAACCCGGACAGACAGAGTTACTTTCACATTTATAGTCTAATATATAAAATTCTCGTGTCGCGATGTTCGAACTTGAACTCCTCCGAAACGGCTCGACCGATTTTCACCAAATTTGATATGTGTATTCAGTAGGTCTGAGAATAGGACAACATCTAATTTTCATCCCCCTAAGTGTTAAGGGTTGTTCACCCTTAAATTTATTTATTTATTTTTTTGGACAAAATGTTTAATTTCTATTTTTTATGGTACAACATACAAAAATACATACTATCCTCAAATTTTACTCTTCTACGATAAACTCTTATTTTTTAATAGACATTTTAGTAAAATTATTTATATGGCAAAACAACGTTTGCCGGCTCAGCTAGTATTAGTATAGATTTATCCTAATGTAGTTAATGCGAAAAATCTTTCAGTTCTAGACTCAATGTACTAAAATTGCGTGACTGTGTTACTAAAATATCTTAGAGGTGCATCTGTTTGCTTATGAAAATTGAGTGGCAATTTTCTGGCACTCAAAAGGCTTACAATATTGATCATGAGATACTTCGGACTGTGTTTCTGGTTTAAGTTTATTTTAGTTACAGTACGATACATTTACTTAGCTAAGGGTTTTGTATAGCCTCACTTATTTTACCTTCTTTCACACGTGTAAAAGAAGAAAAAACAGAGCAAGAAGTTCTGGGTTCGAATCCCGGGTAAACAAAAGATTGTTTCGGTCAGACTCAGAACATAGAAGTCTTATCAACTACTTGCTCAGTGAAACGGACTCAGAATTGTGTTCGCCCCATGATCCTCGGTGGAAACGGATTTTCACACTCTCTTCCACATACTAAAAGCCTCGAAGCAAACAGTTACCAATACAAGTGTTTTAATGTAAAAATATATACAGACGTACACACTACTATTCTATAGATATTAACATACATGGATTATAATGTCATAATAACAATACAACTATCGGTTTATCTGCCTACCGTTCTGATGTTTGTAGTGTTCATATGGTCGAATAAATACCGACATCATAGCTGTAGGCAAGGAAAGGTAAATACATACAAATAGAAATATTAATGATGCGAAAGATGACGAGCAAATATTTTAGTTACTTTTGAAATATTTCTGTTAATAATCTGTCCATCCATACAAAGTCAAATGGAAACTTGAAAATTGATTAAAGAAAACTGATATTAAATATTATAAAAGAAACACAAAACCCGCTGTAGATGAGATAGATTCACTAATTCTTAAAAGAAATATAACACTTTAACGGTTTAATAAGCGATATATATTGGTTGAACTTATTTGAAAATTATTTAAACTACGGCCGTTTCGGATGCTTTGCAGTAGCCGTGGTCACGGAAAGACTAATTCTTAATTTATAGGTGGATATGTTACATAAAACGTAAAATACGCAGATGCTAAATTGCAAAAAAGAACTCAATAAAAAGTA